ACCTGTATGTGTGTGCATTATGAAGATTTAACTGGTCATTTTACAATGCTTTGTGTTTGCTTAATACTACATGTACATTGTAAGCTTCATCAGAGAGTTCGCTCCATAGATTTTGCTGAATAAAGCCAATTTGATTGCTCAGCAGCGCGTGGCTGATAGGGTTGTCTGCCCAAGTCCAGAACTGTGTATGCTTTTGTACATGTGGCTGTACAAATGCACTGTACTTGTAGTCATATGTACCGGTACCTTTTGATTGCTTTTGATATTTTTAAACATGTAGAAAAACTTGAACAATGCATTACCTTGATACAGGCTGTAATCGTGCTCCGCTCTGTATTAAAAAAAATGATTGGGACGTTTTATTGTTTTGTATGTACATGTAGATCAAGTTTAAATCTTCAGTGCCCCAAAACAAACGGCCATTGTTTGTGGCTACTGCTTTTTTCTTTGGTGCGTCAAAGGGTAACGCAGGTCCATTGCGACAAAATACATGTATTGTTTGTACACAACCCCGTTGATAAATGTCACAGTTCATGAATGTGTACAATTTATGTTTGTTCAAGCCACTAAGTGTACCGGTACATGTATGGTCACTGTACAGAGTTCTGTCCCAACAAGTATTAAAATTATTCAAAGGGGTACATTGTCCTGAAATCGCCAACATTTTTGTGTTTTAGATTGTTTACTCATCGTATTTCAAAGGTCGGGTTGAGAGGAAACTACCTAATGTCGCACCGTTCCTGAGAAAAGACAGGGGGAAAAAATGGTTTTTACAAATGTACTTATGACGTGGCGGACATTTTGCGGCATAAATGCGCATACATTTCCACTTTCACAAGTCTCCTTCATGCCCCCAGCACGTGTCCATGATGTCAGATGATTCAATGTACGAAAATATATAGTACATTTCATGTACCGGTACATGTACAATGTAAATGTAGGTGACACATAATGTACAAGAATTACGAGGAGCGCACCCAAACAGTTTGATTTTGTAGATTTTAAATTTTGACCCCCGATTTCGTTCTCGCAAGAATAACACAAAAATTGCCAATTTTGAAAGGATGGTTGAGTGGACGTTCATTTCCTGCTTTTAAAATGGTCTTTCCAACTAACACCATTTCATTTGTAGCCCAACTTGGCGCTTTCCAGGATGTACACATGTAGTGTCCCTTTAATCATTTATCCGAGAACAACTTTTCATAACACGCACTGAAAATCGTAGGCCAAAATCTTGTCAACATGAAGTTCCAAAAACATTGCTAGAGAGTTCCTGAAAATACTGGTACTCCAAATGCCTCGAATCATCCTTTAAAAAATTGTTGAAATTCCTGGTGGAAATGAAATTATCGGAACATTTTTAGAAATTTACGCACATTGTGAAGTCATTCCCGCAGTGCATGTGGAAATATTTGTACAAAATGTGCTCAGTGTGCATACCGGTATGTACAAAGTACATGCATGCATGGACGTGGACATGTAACAGTACATGTACTTTGTACAATGTACATGTATGAGTACATGTACATGTACAAAAAATGTACATGTACTATGAGTACATACACTGTACATGTATACATGTACTTTTGTGTTGTCCATGGCCAGTAAATGCACACTGTATTACTTCTGCTTGCAGTGTACAAATGTACATTTACATGTTTACATGTATGTACACATGCACAGACATACAATCACAGAACTACGGATAGGACCTGTAGTGCATAGGGGTATGGTACATGTATTTTTTGTACATGTGTATGTACATACATGTACATACACACAGGTTGATTGTGATGATCTGTTGACCAGAAGCACCGCACTCTATATTAGTTATTTCCCTGGCTAGCTTCAACAGGAAAACACAGGCTGTTGGCAAAATATCAAAAGCTTGGATGACTATTAAGGATATGATGGGAGCGTTGCTGTCGGACTGTGGCATGTCTGTGTAGTTTTCATGAACCTTAACAGCCGTGTGCTGCGCGTAGAGTGATACGTCATGTAATACTACATGTAATTCTGATAGACCATGGCATTTTATAGAAACAATTGCCATAATTGGAGGTCGTCTTTTACAGACACCACAGGCGTGAGTTAATATTTGTTCATGTATGCGTACATGTACATGTGTACTTGTACTTGTTGTATGTATGTACAGTACAAACTGTACATGTGTACAAGACTACATGTGCTGGACATACCTTGTCATGTTTGTAAACGTAGGACATGTACACGAATTGAATCCGCGTACAGTACATGTGTGCTGGGGCTGTACACATCAATTGTGCAGTAAAGCCAAGCATACTTGTCATTCCTGATCTTGTCTGCACAAATCCTGCGCACAGGTATTGTACATCATGGCCGAGTGAACTTGAACCACAGTAGTAAACAGTGTTGCTGCACAAAACAGATTTGTGCCACATGCACAAACCACAAAGAGGTTGCAGGTGCATTGTGTACATTTATGCCATATTACACAAACTGCTTGGACAAACTGAACAATAGTGCAATGAAAGTTATCTTTGAGGTGTCAATTTCTTTGAACTTAGGATGCTTACATCACACAATCTGACTAAAGACTTATCTGTTTAGTTTTGACAAATTGAATGGTCAGAAAATGTCTGATGTATGATTTTAATTTCCCTGTTTTTAGCCTGTTTTTTTTGTGGTTACAATTTAAAGTAACGTGACAATAAATGTGCACAGTGTGTACATGAATATGGTGAACTGTACATGTACATATGTGTGTGCTTTGGAAAATTATTCACAAATCATAACACAAACTAGTATACTTTGGAAAGTAGTGTCAATAGATTTTGTCTCAAGCGAAACAAGACAATAACGTTTTTGCAAAGGTGGTTGTTAACATTTCAAAGACCCAATTTTTTTTTTACAGAGCCTTCACGACAAGCGCACACACAACCAGACAAGTTTTATAACTTTTGACACAACCAGACAACAAGTTTTATAACTTTGGGAATGCTCATATGATATCTTGTACATGACAAGTGACACACAACCAGACAAGTTTGGTAGCTTTGGCACAACCAGACATCAAGTTTTATAACGTTGGGAATGCTCATATATCATGGAATAGATGCTTGCACAGTGCAGATTATGCGAAACAAATCACGCCTCTTGACCTTCAGATTCTGACCATTCAGCGGGCGCCTTCTATCGTGTCTTGGTTAACCTGATGTATTAAAAAAAATGGCAGCTATTGACCAATTAACAGCTTTGCCCAAATTTCTGCTCTAACTGATGTCACAACTTCTAGATGTAAAGGCGGCTCTGGTTGGCTGGTGCACGGAGTCACTTAAAATTTGCATGCACAGATACATAAATGTACATGTACCGGTACATGTAGACAATTGTAGTGTGGCTCTGCACATGTGAACGTCTGATCCTTAGACTAATAAATAGAGTACAATCAGTTAAATGTTTGATTTTGTTTGTGTCAAGGTAACATCTACGCTTGTTTCAGGTTTTTGAAGAACTTTCCTCTTTGTCATGTTTGTTGTACAGCACATATAATTTTTTTGGGGAAAATTTTGTATCCTTGTTTGTCGTGACAACAGCTGGGACACAAAAACATGCTGCGTGGAAGAGGAAACCACAAGATACCTGTATTTTGACGGATAATTACCTTCATGATTAATCATCATGATGAGTATGCACATTGTGTGTTTATGTTGGACGTGTATGTTATTTAGTTGTGTGATGTCTGTTCAAGTTTTTTTTTTTGCCAGGATGTGCAATTACCAGTGAGTGATAATGTACATGTGTTCATGTAAACAGAAACATGTACATGTAGGACCTACACAATTTACCTGTACATTGTACACCTGAACGTTCACGTTGTGCAGATGATAAGGCAAACAAATCTGGCGCAGTCACTAGGGTTTTACATGTGTAAGGCGTCATGTATTTTGGGAATAGACATTTTACATTATGATCAACACCTACAAACTACATGTACAAGTAAGTTTAAAAGAAGGTCTTTATGGGTGTGCATTTACGGGTAGTAAGGGAACCGGGTACCCGATTGAAGAAAAAAAAATGTGTACCCAGGTACCCGTTATAGAAACCAAACCCCAAAATTCAGATCTTGAAATTCGCTGTTCAGATTGTTCATAAAGGTCCACACGATAATACTACACGTACTACACTGTACATGTACATTGGTGCCTCAATATAGCAAGATACCAGTGGCTATCTTCCTGTACAGGAAGCTTTATAGCCTTAGGCCTACGGTGTCAAGTGCAACTTTTACAACCAGAATAAATGTGAAATATGTTTTGTTTTCCCATGTAGCCCGGTTTTCATTTTGAAAATTCTCCACAAATGACCTCAAAACCTTTCTTTTTCATTGTCTGAGAAATTTCTTTTTTTAAAAGTTGGTTAACGGGTACTTGGTCCCATAATCTGGAACCGGTTCCTGACATCAACAGTCGGGTACTCGGGTACCCAGCTCCGATTCACAGCCCTAAATGTCTTCCATTTGAAGTTTCTTGAAAGCTATTCAGTGCTTTTCCCTGTTCAAACTTTTTCATAAAAGCAACCATGTACCGGTACATGTACATGTATGTACAATGTATGCTTTAATTGTACATGTTTGACTTGAATTTGTAATCTAGAAATACCTTATATGATGAGATATTACATCAGTAGCTGTATTGAATGTGTCATTTGATTTCAAAGGAATCAATATGCGTAAAGGACACAGTTGTACTGCACTGGTGAATTTTTGTGTGCGATTGCCATGAAACAAGTTGAGCAGATACATGGTTTCTGTGTACATTGTATGACCCAGGTCTACATTTTCTTCTAATGCATCCATAGTTTGACTGAACTTTAATCAGTCGCTCAAGGAAAGTCTGCGTTTGTAATTTTCATGTTTGAATTCTTCCCACCGTTTTTGTTTGAAAGGTTTGACACTTGATATTTCTGCGAGCAGTCTCCAGTGCCAAACTAATGATTGCTTATTTTTTTTTTAATCACAGGTCTGAAAGCACCAGTAACATGCACTGATGTATCTCGTTCGTTGCTTCTTGAGAAGTGTGGATGATGGCTTACAGTGCAGTTGTGTACAGGTATGAAGGTTTTCTTCTTCTTCCTTACAAGTGCAGCCTTCATGGCTGAAGATAAACGCACTGCCAGAAACACCGGGACATACCCCTTCTCTTAGCAAAGGGGTTGCTGGGTTCTTTTACATGCATTATACAACACACGGGACCTACAGCTTTACGTCCCATCCGAAGGACGAAGCAACAATGGTTAATTGTCTTGCTTAAGGACACAAGTGTCAAGACCGGGACTCGAACCCACACTCTGCTGATTAAAAACACCAGAGCTTGAGTCCGGTGCTCTTAACCGCTCGGCCACGACACTCCACTTTTGTTGGCAAATTTCCATGAGTAAAAAAAATCCACTCTAACCCTATGAACACAACGTTATCTAACAGTTATTGAAAGAGTGAAGCCTGATAAATTCAACAGCGAGAACAAAATTTCTTGTTCACTGCTTAGATGGGCAAAAACAAACAATTAGTCACTGTTGGATCTTGTTAGATTAAGCAGGATTTAGGGTTAAGGAATCTTACTTGCTTTCTTTCGTACAAGCCTTGAAGGTCAAGTAAAAGTCTTCCCACAACATTAATGCTGACCAAAAGCAACTTCCATCGTGTCATCCTTTCATGATCATCTGTTTTTTATTTTCTCTGTTTGTTTTAAATTGTAGTAGTGTATTCAGCATCTTGGAAGCTCTGGTATAAGCCATGGAAGACTTGCCTATTGAGCCCGGCATCTGTGCCTCCAGGATCCGTTGCTATACAGAGGGAGCTATACAGCGCCCTGCCAAGTTCCATACCGGTCGCTCTTACCGATCCAGGACTGGAGCGATGTATAAGTCAGCATCGTCCTTACATCTTGTCAAGAATGCTCCGGCGGAAGATGAACCATCATCTACCAAACAGCTCTGCAGGTCGTGCGATCAGCTACAAGTAGGGATCAGGAATGGGCCTCTGGGTAGGACATTCGTGTCTTCGGTGAACATTGCACTTGCAAAGCCACAACCGCCTCGAAAAATGTCGCTTCCCTATCAAGTATCCCATCATCAAATGGACTTGCAAAAGACTGACACTTCCTCAGTGTCAAGAGTGGAAAAAAGTGAGTCCGCAGTTGATGGCCAAACAAAGGACAAGGAGGTTCAGGATTCCTCGGGATCATCAAAAGTGGGAGGTACCGTTACAGAGAAGGACATTTCAGGCGTTTGCCAAGATGAGATTGAGCTTCCGTGGGAGACAAATGATGAGTTCCCATACATTCCTGTCCTTGAGAGAATCAAGGAGTTTGAGAAGCAGACCGGAGCCCTGAACCGGAGTCTCTCCCCAGGGCGGCGGAAGCGCAGGGGCAAACCAAACTGTAAAAAGCTGCCAGGAAGCGTGCACAGCAGCCCAGCACTTTCACGACAAAGCTCAGTGGACGAGGTCATTGTGAGAAACTCGAGGAACTCTTCTCCAGCAATTCTTCACCTGCACAGTGAAGCACAGAAGCGCCTGGAGCTGGACTCGGAGCACAGGGTTCAAGGAGAGGCATCTGATAGTGAGAGGTCCAAAGTACCCACAACATCCGAGTCGGCAGCCATGGGCCTTCCAGCTATCACCATTTCTCCAGTTGTGTCGTGTGGACTGGAATCCCTCGCTAAGCCTGAAATAATTCAAGACAACTTTCTGAGTGAGTCGAGAAATGCAACTGTGCAGGATGCCTTTTCAGAGAAGGCACCTTCTGAAAACAAGCCAGCCATCAACTCGGCAGAGTATGTTGATTGCTCTCTAGAAAATGGTCAGAGTGATACACCAGTTGTGGTCTCTGAAGAAACTGAAGTTGTGCAAGAAAGGACTTACTGTGATACACGAGGAGACACATGCCAAGACCAGCTCCTCCTAGAAAATGAGGCAGGAGAATCACCTGTTGATGTCGTGGGTGTTTGTAACAATGTTGCCTCGCATCCTCTCAGTCTCTGCAGAACCCCTTCTAGCGGTCAGACAGAGATAGTTTATGTTGACACTGCCAGTCCCGGTGCTCAAGACATTGACTCTATCACACATAACAAATGTGTCACAGCTGAGTTGAGCTTTGCCGTAAATGCCAAAATCCACGAAAGCACTGCCACTGACAGAGAAGTCAGAGACCACAGTGAGAGTGCAGTCCTTGTCGATATTTTTGTTTTGGAGCCCTTGAGTGAGTGCTCACCTCCTGAAGACTTTGAGAAAACTCTGGAAGGTGATTCAACTGAAAGTGGAACCTGCCTAGCAAGTGTTGAATTGATGAGTCCTTCTGAAGAAGCTTCGAGGAAGCTTTCAAATAATTCATTTAATGACTCGCTACCTGCCAAGCCTATACACAGCCAAGGTCTTAGTACAGAATATACAGAAGACACAGCCCCTGAACTTCAGGTTGCGTCATTTGAGGAGGTTACCCAAGAAGATAACAAGTGCAATAAACTGAGCGTTGTACAGTGTATGACTGCCCCGACCTTTCCCTGCCCCTCAGTTATTGGTTCAGATGAAACTGATCCATTGCTAGACGAGATACTTGAGGTGGGAACTGCCGTGGACACTGACATCTACAGCCAACGCTGCAGCCAGCAACTTGGCGAGTCTGGATCCGAGTCACCAGTATTACCGAATGCCAAAGCAGGGGATGGTTTAGTTCCCGGACTGCTTGCAGAGAGAAGCAGTCCCTGCTTGAGTGATTGTTGCAGCTGCAGCACCAGTGACGACGAGTCACAAACACCTGATGGAATAAGACCGACTGACTTCAACCCCTGTGCCACAATCGATCACAGTATTGGTGAGAACCAGAATGTATCATGCACAGCTTTGCAAGGTTCCAATCCTGAAACAGTGGAATTGGAGGAGCCCTCTGACGCCGATCCGGAAGAGTATACTGATGATTCCCTGTCCTCGACAAGCGAGAGCGAGCTGTCCGATTCTCTTGATTGCATTAGAGAGGTCTTGGCATCCAGCCAAATGCCTGATCTGTCCTCGTCCTTGGGAGCATGTGGGGGGCTTCGACCCTCAGATGAAACCGCGAACACTGCCCAGTTGGAGTCGGACAAAGCTACCTTCTCCAGGCATATGTCAGCTTTGATGGAAGGCCAGTGGTGTGGCAGAGGCTCAAGAACATCTGGAGATGGCAAGCTCAATGCTGATCAGACCCTATTCCTGTCCAAAGTAAACCATCTCTTGGGCATGATACAAAACTCGCCGCGAGTTTTGCAGTTGCAGCCTCCACCACCCCCAGTCCAGGCACCAGTGCCTTCTTCAAGTCTGGACAAATCTTCAATGAGAGACATTCAAGGTGCATCCGGTGATGTCCCGGAAACAAGACCAGTGTCTGTTTCTCCTTTCTCAAAGGAGAATAAAATGCTGGAGGTGCTGAGCCAACCTGCTGTCAAACAGAAAGCTGTTGTAAGGGAGCCTGATTTCAAGCCCCGCAAACGCTCCTGCCGTAAGAAGTACATCAACCCAGACAAGGTCAGTCACCTGCGATACCTCATCCTCCAGTCGCCTCTGGTTTTGTCAGATGGCGACGACAGTGAGAGTGAGGAGAGTGACGTGGAGCTTAATGAGTTCGGCGAGGTCAAGCAGGACTACCCCTTGGGCCGGCTGCCCGACTACATCGTGGCCCAAATCTTCAGCAACCTGGAAACCAAGGACCTGGCTGCCCTAAAGTGCGCTTGTAAGGACTTCAAATGGCTGATTGAGCGGTTTGACATCAAGGGCCACGACTCGCGTTGGTCGGAGGAGCGGTCATATCGAGAGGACCCCTGCATGCAGTGCGGCAAGATCCGGGACCCCCGGGGCGATGTCTCGCTGTGCCGCTGGCATCCCAAGATCTACTACAAGAACGGGGAGATCGGCCGGCACTACTGGACCTGCTGCTTTGCTGGGGAGGAGGAAGCACCGGGATGTGAGACCGCCCTCCATGACAACAAGTGGTCGGGGTCGCACTCCAGGCTGTGCAAGGTGCCTCGCGCTTGGAGACAATATTGGAGGAGTTATCCCACGGATAGCTGAATGTCTGCCTGTTAGTATGAGAACCGTAAAAAAAATTTGGTCGCAAAGTGACTTTGTACCCCCTGATTGGCAACAAAGAGACAGCTTAGTTGTCATTGTCACCATGTGCCCAGTGAATAAACAAAAACGCCAGGGTTGGTGCTGGTTTGTGCATAATTATCTGCCAAACATGTACATGTATATATACCGGTACAAAAACAAATGTGCCAATACGTCATCTGTGTGCAAACCAATGCACACCCCAGTGTGTGTACATGGTTTGTCACTTTCTTTCAAAATGTTAAATATGGTCAAAAAGAACCATGTAATGTCCCTAAGAGTCCATAGTTTTATATAGAGTACTGAAGTGTGCCCCCTATTCTGGTTCACGCGCATAGATTAAGTGTGTGAAGATATCTACACGCTGCGCTGACCAGCATGTGAACGAGAACAAAGACAGACGTCAGACTTTGGTACTCTATACCTACATGTACATGAACATGTACCATCATGTTTACCATGGGTTATTGACTTGCTTTTAAAATGTTTTGCCTCTTTCAGAGCTAGAGGACATACATACATGTACATGTAATGTTGTGCACGTAGAACACTAAAACAAGGGCTTTTCATAACGATTTTGGAACCTTATCAAGTCATGATTGGCAAATTTGGCTCAAAAGATTTTGTGAGTGAGAATTGATTTATGCCTTTAAATATGCATGCAACGAATTAGGCAGAAAATTAAGTATATAATTGTGTGAGACATAAATTCTTTCAAAAGCAGTCAAACTTTTTTTTGAAACTTTATTTCAGTAGGGATTACGGCACAAGACGTTTTACTCGAAAACCTTCAAACTTTAACAGTTGTTCCGTGTTTTACAAATGTAATTATATTTTCTTCAAGCTTAACATGTTGCCTTAAGAGTATTCGCCAGATATAAGTTCTAATTATATCTCTTTTATAAAGGATCATTTTGCACTGAACCGGCGAAAGAAACCTAGAATGTGTCTAGTGGGCATTAGCGAGCAATTTGACTGTACATGTAGTTACTCTGTGTATTAAGTATTCGATGGGATCAGTTCACCTGAACATGTAGGAAAAAATTATCAGTATTTTTTTTCTACCAGTATTTTGTTTCCTTCACAAAGATTCTTTAAATAGAAGTGTAAGTTGAGTGTCCTTATCGCAATTTTTATCTACACTGATGTTTATGTTTTCTGTACAAGCTGTTGCATCTGTATTGGTTCGAGCTGGTTTACAATTTATCATGTGATTGTTGTATATTTTATCAGATGGTCAGTTAAATTGACCTGTGTGTTGTGTTACTGGTACCTGCCATCAGAAAAATATCCACTTCTTTAATCAGGTTTCTTCTATCTTATGCAATCAGATAATTACAAGTGCCAGTGTAAATGTTAGTTACTGACTTGCTACTTTGCGAAGGTCTGTTTTATTTAACACGTCGAAGTCAAGTATTATGCAGCGGAATACAAAATGTCGCAAGTTGATTGCCCCCCAAAAGTAGTTTTGAATAATGAAAATATGATCACATTATTCCTTCATGTTAATAATGACAAACCTACATGTTCATGTACAAGCCTGCCTATAATGTTTAACACTTGTCTATCAACAGCTACAATACAATTTTAGGATGTAGTTAAGTTGCCACAGGAAGAGTGGAGTTCATCCTGAAATTATATTGTACTTTAAAGACACAACTGTTCAAGCAAATTCATGCACATGACATTTGAGAAATGTTAAGTATGCACAAGAGATTTGAGAAATTTAAAGTGTGCAGTATGTATCCTGACTATAGTCCATTATTGCATAGTGCCTGTAATATGGGAAGCCTTTCATGTTATCATGGCCATTTCTGAAACCTCGGCTTCACTTTACGCTTCATCCCCTTTCAACGTACGTTTGAAATGTGCAGATTAAGCTCCAAATACTTGCGGCTTTTTTGTTTACGTGTGATGTACGAAAAGGCACACATAATTTTCTCAAATCTTTCATATGAGACCTACCGGTAACACTGGGAATCGAGAGCGTGATGAAGACACAGCTGTAATGAAGCCGAGGTTTGAGTAATAGCCCTTTCGTGGATGTTATGATTAGAGTTGTGACTTTAGACCATGTCACATTCGTTTACTTGTGGTAATCACATGACTAACACATGAAATATTGATTGGTTTAAAAATGTTTGTTTCACTGCGCACTAGGGTTAAATGACAAATATAGTGGCAGTTGGGTTCTATAGTAGAGGGGAATTGGAAGGGTGTCCACAGGTCCCCCACCCAAGGCCTGTTGCCCCGTGTTGCCCCCCATATTGCCCTCAATGTCCCCCCTCCCAAACTCAGGAATTTTGGGCGGCCAGCAAGTGTTAAAACGTGCTATGATAGCATTCATCATAGCATGCACATGCTATGGGATAGCACTCCAGTTGGCATGCTGTGATAGCATTCCCAATAGCATGCGCATGCTGTAGCTCATTTAAATAATTTGGCCTCCTGACATGCTATCGGACTGCTATACCTCAATGAATGCTATATGAGAATGCTATTGGAGATGGCAGTTATTCATAGCATGCACATGCTATGCTGAATGCTATGAAAACTGCTATTGGACAGCAGTCATGTTCGGTGTAAGGGGCCCCTTTGTTAGATGGCTGCTTTGCCTATTGCCCACATACAGGTGCGACATTACAGGTGTCATGGTCTATAAGGTGTGGCAAATTTTTACCTTTTACAGAACTTCTAGAGTTGATACTGCCGTTTCTTATTTCTGCCTTCCAGTCATTGCCTGATCTTCCCTAAAAAAATTCTTACAGAGTAAAATTTCACAGAACTGTTTAGGATACAGTTTAATTAAATGCTTGAGATTTGGGCTTGTGCGAGTGGTTACCGGCCAAGTGTGACGTGACGTGTGCTGCCAGTAACTACAGCCCACCAAATTTGTGGAGCGTAAAATTTTCCAGCAGCAATGGCTTTTAAAACTTTCTCGTGTGTTTAAACACGGAAGAGTGTTATTCGCTTCTGTTAAGCAGGATAGTTTTTATGAAAGCCAGTGATTTGATATTATGCATGATTAATTCATAACACTTAAAATTCTGTCAGATTTCTAATGACATTAATTTATAAAAAAATCAAAGCCTCTTATTTTGTTACAAAATAATTACATGTCCAATTACTTCTGCCTAATATAGGTTATCAAACTTAAAAATCAAAGCCTCTTATTTTGTTACAAAATAATTACATGTCCAATTACTTCTGCCTAATGTAGGTTATCAAACTTTAAAATCAAAGCCTCTTATTTTGTTAAAAAATAATTACATGTCTAATTACTTCTGCCTAATATAGGTTATCAAACTTTAATATATACTTACCTCTTTCCCTCGAAAAATAAGATATTAAACGAAAATTGGGTTTTTCTGAAAAATAATCTTTTATGTTGCCTATTCCATGTCGAAGATTTGACTGGTATGGCACCCTGGATCCTTAGCATGAGAACAAGTAACAGACCCTGCCTGTAACCAGTCTTGAAATGCCAACACTCATATTTATATAGAAGTAACGAAGACTCACACATTATATTGTGTAAAAACACTTGTTTATTTCAAAACGAGATTTGTATAAAAAAAAGTATTTTGTTACATAGTTTAATATGTAGATAACGGCATCATGTTCATTTGGAAACAATATTTTGTGCGTTTTGGGTTGCATTTGTATACTTTCTGCTATAAATCTAAACAGCATTATCAGATAATATAAATAAAACACTACCACGTCTTCTGACAATTTGCATTAACTGCGTTCTTTATTCGGGGAGTTCAGACGAAGGATTTTGCACTCTTGGCAATCCAGAGAAGCTGATCAAATATTCACTCATCCCCATTTGTCTTGTTTATTCAAGGTGCTGTTGAGCTCATTTCTTTAAAGGCATATAGAACCATTTGCTTTTCATGCATCTTGTCGGTTTGCAATAATAACACCACTCGAATTTCAAAGAACAATGTTCAGAAACCAAAAGTTCCTGTTGAAGTTTCAGCTCAGTGGATATTACACTTGGCGAGAAAACAGGAAAAAAACATGCAACCTTTTGATCACGAAAGATGATTTTGTCTACATGTATAAAATTACCTCTATTTCCAAAAATCAGTCAATTGACAGATCTTTGGAAATCTCTGGGCCCTCTGGTTTTCCTCCCTCCGGAAAAATCAAACACTTTCGATCTCAGGCTGTGCTCCGTGGTCATATATGGGTCGATGTGCCACAGGCGCCTTTACGTGCCAGCTGCCCGACCACGTTGTAGCTGCGTCCTTCGCAATTCAGCATACCAGCTGCGAGTAAGGATGATTAGCCTCCCAAATTATTATTATTATTATTATTTTTATAACATCAGATTCAAATCAGCCAGCCGACCCCCAGACGCTTTGTGGTCGAGTGGTGAGATGTCTGCACTAGTACGCAGGAGGTCGAGGGTTTGAGTCCCACCTGAGTAATTTTTTTCTCACAATCACTCGGGGCAACACTGAGTACATATACAAGTGTTTATAAAATACGTCGGTGAAGGGCAACACCCAATATTGACTTGGAACACGCAAGCAACAGCCGTTTCACAACCTAAATGCAAATGGAGAGCTTTTTGCAGCAACTGTTCTGGATGCTCAGAGGCCCTGTTAGACTGTCTGCGATCATATATGCGCTCCAACTGCGTCCTTGAAAAATGGCTCGGGCGCAACAGGTCATCTGATGGGCGCCGGAAGGTGGTCTATGATGAGCGCCAAAGTTTCTGAGCATGCTCAAAACAATTGCGACACCTCTGCGCTCTGGCCAGGGTGCCCTAATGACGTAACTCGGGCGCTGTGCGAGCGTGAATCGTGCGACATTGACGTGGCATTCACACAGCCTAGGAGTAAGGCAGTCAATGTAGTCTCCATGAGAAAGTAAATGGCCTGCTATGAACTTGTGGAATAAATGTGAAACTGTACTGCGGATTGACCGTTTTGTCGTGGCATTTATACAGCACAAGTGACGTCACGTGAGCGTATTTTGGTCGAATAGAGAGAGCGACGCGACCTACTAGGACGTATCAACAGCGAGTACAGCGAAGTGTGAGCGCAGTGACAGTGCAGCGGCAGCGACTAGATCGAGTAATTGAGCTTGACAGGGGCGCATAGAGAGCGAGCTGAGTGCATCGTAAGCGTGTGATGAGCACAGTATGAGCCTACATGTAGCTTGAGCTACTTTCTGGCCACTTGAGACAGAAAATTGTCATTTCTTGCGTCCTCGCTGCGATAGTTCAATTTATTAAATATTTTTGGTCGCTGTAAGGTCTCCTATGAGAGCGCATATAATGTGACGGCCCTTAACAAGCTTGCACCAGGGACACATATGCAGAACAGAATGTTGATTGGCATGGGGTAGGTAGCAAATGTTTATGTTCAATTTGCTGACGTCACACCGCCAATGACTGTCTCTCTCGTCGCTTGACATGGTACAGCAGTTGCAGCACGGCAGCTGGGGTCATTCCCTCAATGCGACTGGCTGCTGCTATCTGAAATTTAAAAAAAAAAAACAAGATGAAAGTTACACATAGTGGTCCAAAAATACCGGAACCTCATACTTTCACTACCCTGAGACTCAAACCACATTATACCAATGTATGGAGAATCTTTTTAGAAGAAAAATGAAACCAAGATCGCCCGATTCAGTCCAGTAGTTTTTGTTCTAGAGCCTATTTTGTGAAGCAAGGTGGGGTCATTTTTGTCCCGATCAATTACTAAACCGCGCCCGGGAATTTGACTTGCATTGTAATTGATAGAGGGATTGTTATCTAATAAGATGTCTCAAAACCGCCAAACGCACTGGTTTGACTGGAATCCTGCTGCTGCACAATTTTAACGTGTTTTTAGATGGGGTTACGATCAAGTATTAGCTTTATGTGGCCTCTCTGGGCTCCCATATATTTTGCACTAAATTTAGTCGGGCACCATTTACAGACGATGATGTAATTTTGTAATTGTGTATCTAGGAGCCAGACTGAGGGGGCGACGGTCTGTATCTGGAACCTGTGAACGCTTTTTAATTAGCGCAATATGTAAGGGAGCAGACTAATGACCAGTCTGGCAGCACACGATGTCGATGTCGCTGTACGCAGGTCTGACGTACGTTACCTTTTTCTCTGATTTTTCTCTGGACTATTCAAATTTCCCGAAGAAATGTTCGTGTCGGTCGAGAGAATTCTCAAGCCTTATGGCCTTACTCAGGTCACCTCAAGCTCCACCCTGAAGAATATTTGTGAGAGTTTTAAGGGGATTAAAGCGTTATCTGCAACATCAGCCGACATTATTTTGAAGAAAAAAATTAGGGGAAAAAAAAACAAAAACAAAAAACGCATCGCCGCACCACTTTTGGGGCAAGCTCCATACAAGAAACCGTAGACTTTTTTTTTGGCCTAACATGAGCCAAAGACACTTACTTGATTCGTCAGTCAGTGTCTATAAACATGCTACTAAAGCAGCTACATGTACATGCACTCTGTTTTCAAGTGGGAGCTCAAATTTGAGCATCATCTTGGACAGATACAGATGGATTTCAAATTATCATCATGGAGATGAGGAGCAGTAAAGAAACGGCCCCTGGCTTGGATGCCAATTTGAAATTTTGGATTGCTTTAGAATTTAGAAATACTCACTGTTTGAGGTCTCACTGTAGATAGCTTTGCAATAGCTTCCCTGGATATGTTGATACTATATAACCAATAGACAATTAGAATAGAATGAGTGAAACATGCAGTGAATCCTCTTTTAACGTAAAACCCGAATCGAGCCATTATATTCAGGTTTTCGAACCAGGGTCAAGGATCTCTCTTATCTCCAGATTTGATCTCCTTAGGGCAGTTTTAGCACCTGATGAATGCCTTATATCAGGAGGGACTGGTTAGTACCGATTGACTGAACGACTTTCCGGCATGCCTGAATCGACCCTCAGTGGCCGAAACCCACCTAGATTTTTCACAAATTAAAAAGCCAACGTAATATTCGTTTTTGTCCAGTAATGAAACCATGTTTTCTTCTTTTGGTTCAGTGAAATTGATGCACAAACAACAGAAATCATGAATTTGTTGGACACTGGACTCCTTGAAAGATAAACATCGAAAGCCTGGTAAACAAGTTTTCTTCAATTTCATATATGTGACCGGCTCCACAATAAAGGGTATTGCGTCGCAAAAAAAGTACAATTGAGTTATATACATGTACATGGTTGGAAAGCCATCAATTTAAGCTTTCATTTGGTATATAAAAGAACTCCATAACCCCTCCTGTTCTGGAGATATGACGTATTTGCATATTAATTACTTCCTTGGAGTTCAAATTACACAACTGAGAAAACAGGCTTTGAAATAGCAGGCTTTGTGGTAAAACAACAGAACGATGTACACAAATTGTTGTTTTTTCCCTTTTTGTTCATCAAAATCAACATTTCTGTGAATGAAACCTGAACTGTAGGTACTAAAGATGTCATTTACATGTATGACAAAAAATGAAAATCACATTTTGACAAAATTTTCACCCTCTCAATGTTGAGCAGGCCATTACACAATAATGCTCAGTGCAACTAATACCCTTTTTTGTGGAGCCGGTCACATATCGTATGCGAAAATTGCAAGGGGAAGTTTCAAAATGTTTCATATGTGTATTGGTTCGACTGATATTTCCCCAATTATTCTTCACAAATGAAATCACAAGCACTCCAGTCTTAAGCCAACAGACAAGCTGTTAAAATAACATGTGACAAAGACTTTTATGGTCAATGGAAATAGCCAAGGTTAACACAAATCAAAGCTGGTAACCACGCCCACCTGTCATAGTCGATATCAGCTGGTAGTACCAGTGACTCATCTCGCTTGACTTGATCGATGTCGCACTGCTGTTGGCGTAGCAATGGTGCATAGATGCCTGCAAGCAAATGAAGAAAGACAATTTAATACAAACTGAAGTGAAGTTTACAATACAGTGGAACGTCGCTACACCAAACGCCGCTATACCGAACACCGCAATACCGATCATTCGGCTATACCGAATACTTCAAATTCAAATATGTGAACGTACCTTCCACCTTCAACCTCATTGCAATGCTTTCATCATCTGCGTAGGTCTTCAGGTCAGGTGACACCGCAGCTAGATGGGCCAGGGTCACATTTGGGTACGCCAGCATCTCAAATGCGCTGACCAAAGAAGGGAAACATTACAAGAGTCATGAGAGAAAATCAGATTTTATAGCAAGAGAAATGACCAAAATGTTTACTGTATTATTAGCTGCTGTTTGTGGATCCACTCATAGGCTAGTTTATGTTTTGAGCAAAGAGGTGTGTCTACTCTCAATTCCTCTACAGGGTAAAAAAACCCGAAACCAAAATGTCGGGACCATTGTTTAAGTGAAGTTCTGCATGTAGCACTTTCAAAATCTAGGACATGAAAGCCCAATTCATAAGCTTTCTTTTAGTTCAAGAATCATTGAAATCACTTATGTACTTTTCAAGTTACGGAGTTTTAAACACAACCACCGTTTTAAGGTTCTGTCCACGGATCACAAAAAAAGTTCAGTGTTCTTTCAGCAAAATTGAAAACGAATCACATAAGGATGTATGTGAATTGTTTTTGTTTTGGTGAAAGAAAACACACCTTTTCTGTGATCTGTGGACAGAGCTTTAAAACGGTGGTTGTGTTTAAAACTTCATAACTTGAAAAGTACATGAGTAGTTTGAATGATTCTTGTACAAAAAGAAAGCTTATGAATTGGACTTTCATATCCTAGATTTTGAAAGTGCTACATGCAGAACTTCACTTAAACAATGGTTCCGACATTTGGGTTTCGTTTTTTTTTACTCACCCTGTATACCTTTAGCAAAGATTTGACTGAAGCAAGAGTTGAATCTGTGGCAACTGAAAAACCTTACTAGTGATCTACTCAGCCCTACATTGATGTTTGGGTGTGAACCCACCTTATCTTGCCTGGACTGGCCTCTGTTAGCGGCGTTTGTACTCGTTGCTCTTCCATGCCTTGTCTCCACTTGGACCGTGACAGACGCACTGATTGTAGGACCTCCATCCCTTCCTGGAGTCTGTCGGCTGTGGCTTGGGCTCTCTGGTATCTGTGACAACTCACACATCCAGCTTCATAACCTGCCACAAGGGAATACGTAGTTCATTTATGTTTTGACACTCCACACAACCCATTGGAAAATACTGAATGTGAACATTTCCACCAAATGCTAGGTAAGTGTGTTAGTCGGGTAGACAAACGTAGCAATTAAATGTGGCACTTTAATAACTAACAAAATACAAAAACCTGCAAGGTCTTAAATAAGCTATTAACAACATTTACCTACTGGTTCAATGCCATCCCTGGTAAACAATCACTCCACAATATACGGCTGCTTCGTATTTCGAACACATTTCGAGCAACAACCGCGCGTGTTTGGAACATTTTCATTTTCAACACTGCGCAGTGCGTGTTTGATTGCGTCGCAGTTCTCCTTCAGAGATGGCGGTCATTGAGCTAGCCCTATAGATGTAGTCATAGCTCTGGAAGCCAGTTTCGGACACTGCCTCAGGCTACAAGCTAGGCTGAACACTGTCTCATTCTCTTAGGTATAGAGTTAGAGATGTCTCAGTGCGTGATTGTCCTTTTGACCTGTGAGGTGGGGTCAACATGTGTGCATGCGCATACATCATGCATTTGTAATTGACAATCCATTCCATACTGACAGTGATTGAAAACTAACAAATCAGACTATGGGGAAGGATGAATAAAAATGGTGTATTGCGTCCAATGGGATCCCGGAAACTGTGAGGGCATTGCCCATTATCCAAGAAATAGACTAGAGTGGAGTTTGAACCTGCGACCACTGGAATGATGTACCAGTGCTTCACCAACTGAGCTATCCAGCCCCATGTTGGCTGCAGCCTCCCAAATTGTTGACATCTTTGTCCAAGAGGTGCTAGTCAGAAACCTAGTCTGTACAGACTCAAAATGGCTGATTATTGTGGACAGCCATTATAGTCCGGTACTGGCCAGTGCATCAATTGTCAGATTGACCTATGACATAGAGGTCAACCTGAAATATCTACGCGCACACCAACAGGGTGCTGCATTTAGCATGACAGACGAGGGTGCAGGCGAAGTAGGCCAATCAAATTATGGGGGACGCGGTACAGTCAAGATGCACAGCAACCAATAAGATACCGGTATTTAAAGCTACAGTCCATCATTTGTAATTTGTTCATTTTGTTCGTTTGAAGCAACAAAAGAGTTCAAAATCTAATGAAGGATACTGAGCAACTAACCTGATGAAGTTTCAGCTAAGCTTCAGCTGTACATTCCGAGAAAAACAGCATTCTAAGATCTCAATTTCAAATCAAAAGTTACTGAATCATGTTTTGAATTGTTTTGAATTGCAGCAATACGCGACGTCGCGCACTGATCCGACGAATTATAACAACCGCGCGCGCGCGTGTGCGTCGTTCCAATACTTGTGCGCGCTGCGCTGAATAACAAAACGAACTACTAATTTAAATTTTCCTACGGTGCTTCTTAAGAATCACCGTTGGAAATGCCTTCTTTCGTTGATTACTTCAAAATGACAGCTTCCCGGAAAGAAAAATTTCACAGGGAGTTTAGTTCCCTTACTATCTTTCATCCAAGTTTGTTTTTCAACAATAATTACGACAGTTACTTTTCGGATGGCTGCAAATGATGGACTATACCTTTAAGCATGAGGCTGTTGCCTGTCAGTAGCATAGCCTTTGTTAATTACGTCAAATAGCGCCCTCTACAGTATTGCACAGACCCATGTACCTCTGCCTGTGAGTCTCTGGTCTGCATTGTCTGGCCTCAGCGTCATGCGGAACTCGGAGCGACTGGTGAACATGCGGTAGGGTTCCGAGGTACCCTGGGTAATCAGGTCATCGATCAGGACCCCGATGTAGCCCTCCGTCCGACTGACGCTGAACGCCGGTTGGTTTCTTGCCAGGAGGGCAGCGTTCAGCCCCGCTATGATTCCCTGTTGATGACAGTGATTACACTGATAACAACTGAAAACATGATTCCACTGATTGGAGGAGTATTGCTGGTTACATTGATTTGAAGGATTTTATCATCAGTACCTTGTGCCGGCTTTTATGAATGTATGTTATAACGGGATCAAACTTTAAAACATGGCCAGGTATGAAAATATTTGTCTGAAATACTTGGTTAGTGGCTGAGGAAATCTGTAATCTGACTTAAAACAATCTAACCACAATCAGTTTTACAGATTGGATAATAAATCATACAATCTTTAAAATGTTTAATTTACAAGATAAATAAGGCGGGGTTGGGAGGGGGCTGGGGGAATATTGCAGACAGCTATTAAACTATGGGCTCAGTGCACAAGTACGCCCTCAGTGGTAAGAAATGGAGAGTTGGGCTAGACCACTGGGTGTACATTCAGATTAAAATTAGTTGCGAGTACTTTGCGCTATATGTGCGTGAATCAGTACGCACACGCAGTGGGGTCCTGTCCACTTCGCTCTCAAAAGTTGTAAAAAAGCACCCTCCTTTGTTTGCACATGGAGCTCATAAAGCAACTTAATTTAAATTAGTGGAGAACCAGTCAACTGCAATATACATCACAGAACATTTGGGCTTTGAATTTGTTTTTTGCTAATCAAATTCATCAGTGCTTTATTAACTCTTCAATTTGGAGCTCTGTAGGTCCGTGACAAATTGGCCCCTGGTAACTCCATTGGTCAAAGGGGCCGCAATACTGTTTCCTTAATGACCGGACTCAGTCCATTGGTTCCCCAGATAAATTTTGACCTGTGTCATCAAAGGTCAAAGGTGCCAGACAAACCTGAGCTGCAGCCTCTTCATAGCCTGTCGTGCCGTTGATCTGACCGGCAAAGAACAGATTCTGCAGTCGCTTGGTCTCCAGGGTACTCTTGATCTGCCTGGGATCCATGAAGTCATATTCCACCCCGTACCCTACAAAAGCAGAAAAGTTTCCGTTTGATTATGATGTAAAATACTAGTATAACATATTTTGAGGATGGATAGTCGATTTTATAACACCTCACCCGCAGATTCTGTATCTTGTTTGGCCGAGAGCGAGTCACATGGCATTCACTATTTTTGCTATCTTGCTAAAGTACTATACCCGTAGCAACCAAAGTACTATGCCCGTTGCAACCAAAGTACTATACGCATAAGAACCGGTATGTGTGCAAATGCACATACAGGTGTGCGCATTGAGAGCTGGTTCAAACATTTCTTGAAGGGGTGGTTTGGAAAGTGCAAGTAAATTTTCAACTAATTTCGTATTAAATTGAAGTGATTAAATTTTAATTCTATGTACGTGGAATTAATTGTTATCGCTTGAAATCAAGCAGAATCTGTGGGAGAGGTGTTATAAAACAAATAGTGACTGCTTTATCTCGAGGTGTAGTAAAACTAGCCTCTCTCGGTGATCCATGGAGCACACGTTTTTCCCCTCGGCTTCGCCTCGGGACAAATAGAATGCTTCATGGATCACCTCGGAAGGCTAGTTTTACTATACCACTCGAAGCAGTCAATATTTGTATATTAGCTCCCCAAGTCATTGTAAGTTGACAAGCAAGTTCCCAAAGTGAAGCCAATCTCACCTGGTCTAGTCATGACCACGTTTTCCAGCCCTTTCACCATGTGAATGCATTGATCCTGAAGATCGGCTGGTAGCGTGATTGAGAAGCCTTGCATGTACACAGTGTCTGTGTTCAGACCTGGGAAGAGTAGTAAACAAAATCACAAAAAGTAAGACAATAAAATGTTGCCTGTACGACCTTATTATATTCAAACGGAATTTACGGTAAAGTTTTTTTTTATCATGTCTTTCCATAAGCCAGTTCGGTATTCCAAAAATTGTCCGGTGCACAGCAAGATTTGACAATTTATTTGGGGGGAAAACCATGACAGATAAATGCACACAAGGCTATGGGGGATGTGGTATCCTAATCTGCATTCTGTGCAATTTTCGTGCAATTGAAAAGAGATGGAACTTTCGTTCGCACAAAAGTTTTGACACACAAAGACACCTAAAACACTTCGCTGTCCAAAGTTTTTTTTGGCAAAATGTTATACTTCAGAACAAGATGATCTCTTCAATTTTGCTGGTACTCCGCTATGCTTTTGCACGCATATGATGAAATTTCAATCCCGAAAGACAAAACGGCAAATCTTGATGTGCACATGCGCAGTTGAAATACCGAACTCGCTTACTGATAAGGACTATATTATTACTTCTTTGAAATGACTTGGACATATTTAATCATCTCCAAGCAAACTTCAATCCTTGTTCCTGATTGGTTGATCCATGGCAACAAACCCTGCTACAAGATCCCATGTACCACGGTCAATACCGCGTGTACCGCGCTATTCCAAGATGTGCGCGCCATTCCCACTGAACGCATGTGTAATAGGATTACCGCAGTGTCACAGCGTACTCATTCATCAAGTAAACTGTGCCTAAAGTTTGCTTGAAGATAAATTTGTTATACCACTCGCGCTCAGGGAACACGGAAAGTGTGTCTATGTCCCACATACCACTCGGTCTTCCGTGCCTCATGGTATGTGGGACACAGATGCACTACACTATTCCATGTACCACTTACGCTCGTAGGATAACTTAAAAGAAGCTTTTGCAAAAACTGTACATTTTTTAAAGACTAATGCCATGTCTGTTAAAAAATAATATCACATTCAAACCACATTTATCAACACGTACTGCTACCTCATGTTTATTTTCATGCTACACAAACTTTTTAATATGTCTCCCCCCTCCCTCCCAAAATGCATTGCAGTTTGACAAAGTGCATAATTGTTAAGTCTTTTTACCATCAAATTTCCTGCTTGCTATGACAGACACAATTTTTATTTTCCTTCAAACTACAAAGTTCAAGTGGAAGATTTAATTGCTCACCTTCTGGTTCCAACCAGATCTGGTGACACTTGTCCATGCCAAACCTGAAGATTTTGGACTCAATAGACGGGCAGTACCTTTAGAAGTGAGAACAAAAATGGATAGACATCAATACAAAGAATTGCAGAATCAGGCAATCAATGTATCAGCAAAAAAAAAAAAATACTTAACTCTTTTTTTGTTTTGCACACAGGTTTGGGCCAGTAAACATGGAGACATGCACAAACATGTAAACTTTCATGCAGGTTTAAAACATCGTGAACACAAATATAACCAATTTTGCATGAGTATTAATGGCAAATAGAATGATCTTCAAGATGATCAGTCATGAACTATTTGTAGAAAAAAACCCACATAAATAGTTGATCATTCTTTTTGTAGAAGAAAAGCAACACACCTAAAAGAAGCCGCAGCCACTAAACACTGACCTTGGCCCTGTGACTGTCTCTTTGATGTGCACGTTGAGGTGTTTATTCTCCATGATGATTGGTCCAATGCCAGGCGTCGTGTGTGTCAAGTGACACACCACTTGATCCTCGGGCTGATTAACAAATAATTAAAAAAACCAAGTAAACCACAAAACTGTAGGAATTCAAATAATAATAATTGTAAACATAACTAGAATTGTGTTTGTGGACAAACACATAGCTGTTTCGATTGTTTTAACTAAAGTCCGAAGTTTCCCGTTTTCACGATCACACACTACACATGAAGTTTTGCTCTAGATGTCAACGCACGCACGCGGTAGCCTGCCGGCATTAGGGCATACAGAAAATCGTGCATAAATACATACACGTACACGCATTATCCATGGCATACAATGGAATGTCATTCTGTGATGCATAATTCATGATTGACGGCTTGCCTGTGCACCAATGTGAACCACTGTGCACGCGGTGAGAGCCCAGTAGGTCGTTTAGCAGTTGTGATGTAATGCTGGCGATGTGACACGATCTCAGCTTGTTCCCAAAAACGAATCCCCGTAGTACTGCTGTGTTACCAGTGATGCTGATGTCGCTTCACGTTGTACATAATGTACGTACCCGTTGCGTGCGTTTGGCCATGCAATTGCTTCAGTACCGCGACGATGTGCATATTTGTCGAGAAAGAATTGAAGACGACACTACGAAAACTTTTTATTAGGTTCCTTTCAAGTTTTCATGTATCTTTTTGGCAGTAAATATAGAATTCTGAAAATCCGTGTTGTCCTTAGTTTCCGTGAAATTCCGTCCGTTTTCCGTATCGCTGAGGACTTCAGACTTTAGTTTTAGCAACTACTGCCATGAAGGAATTTCAACCAAGTCAAATATACATGTACATAAACTATCTTTATCACTTCGGTTTTTTTGTAAACAAAAATCAACTCTGTTGATTTGAAATGACTTGACTACTTAGAGTATGCCAACTTAATGCTGAGTAACATAGTTTTGTAGAGTGCTTGTGTGATATTGTGGGATAAAAGTCTCCTTCAGTCAAGTTCTTTACTCAACTGAATACTTTCTCATGTTTGGTTCAAAGGATGACTGTATAATCTTCGTAAACTGATTCCTGATTTCATGAACACGAAAACCATATATGATTGAAATGCACCGCTCATCCTACACAGCTTCCAACATGTGGCTCACTTCAGTTGACACAGGCTCAACTTTTATCTGAAAAAGTTTCCGAGTAATTTCTTGACTTTTTGTTGATGAAGTCGGTTCCAAAATTGTTGTCATACACGCACCTTTATTGTCACCCTGTCGTTCATGAAGGAGAAGGGAGTTGGTTGGGCATCACCCCTGTGCTTCTCTAGTTGGCTGTAGTCAATTGTCCGTCCATCCAGTCTGGGTGGAGTACCTGGAAGACAATGATCATTACAGGAAATATTTAACATTTGCTTTTGCTGTAATTTTCAGAAATTGATGGATTTGGGGGGTAGTTATTTAATAGCAAATATTGTTAAACTGACTTGTTTGACATTTTTGGTTCGTAGATGCTGGAAAATCAAGAAAAACAATCATATTCTTGTAGTCTGGTTCCCTGATCCCACTAATTTATAGACGTCGGGGAATAAGGTCAGGGAATCAGTCTAGCTGGCTTGTACCCGATCACAGGTGTGTAATCAATTGCAAACAAAATGTGAACAATTGGGGACAGTGTTGTAGTACGAGTCCATCACAAGTCACTGACAAGTCGGTCAGTCCCAAGTCAAGTCATCGGCTATGAACTCTGACACCGGCATGCTTTTGTTACTGTTCAGCCCCTGTTACTTATGACTGGATTGTGACTGGACTTGTTTAGGGACCTTGCGATTTAATTTTGATACCACCTTTGATGAATTTGTCATGGTCTCGACTTCGACACTGTCTTAGAATGCAGATCAGTCGTTAGGATACTGATCAGTCGTAATTTGAGCAAGATGTGCCCAGTAGTTTTTGCGTTAGACAAAAAAAGTTTTAAGGGGGGACTCTCTCTTTTGGTTGAGTGTATATGCCGGAAGTTGAGGCAAATGATGGTGTCAAGTTGTATTTTATGAGTCACTTTTATTAAAAAAAACAACATACAATTGGTAAGAAACCCTCTACCTGTCTTCAGCCTTCCTAGAGTGAAGCCAGCATTCTCCAGCGTCTTTGCCAGACCTATCGTGGGCTCATCGTCCAAGCGTCCTGCAGGCCGTTCATCAATTCCAATCTGAATCACTCCCCGGAGAAATGTACCGGTTGTCAGGACTACTGCTCTACTGCTTACATGGCTACCATCCTCTGTGTTTTTGTTTTAAACACAAAAAGTGTGACTAAATGTATTCTCTCAGAAAAGAATTTCAAAATGTTAGTCAATCTTGGACGAATTTCAGTCAAAGGCCATTCGTCTCGTCAACAATGACAGCCACACCAACTCACTCCAGCCCCTGGCCACCGACGCTGTGTTGCTTCCCTTTCAGTTTTTGACCGTTACTACTCTGGTCACTGTTCACAGGAACTGAAATCTATCATGCATAAATCTCAGACCTGCCAACCTTTGGGATCGAAAAACTGTATTCTGAATCTCCAAAAATTGTATTTTTCATAAAAAAACTGTATTTTTCAAAAATATGCATAGACGAGCTATTACGAACAAATAAATGTGGCTGCAATGCTCCATTGTTAATACATCTTAATTAAAGTCAAAAAAATGACCAGAGGTCTCCCTGTGGGTGGTAAACCTAATCAAACAATTTGCATAAGGATATTGATCATATACTTTATTCATAAACAAACTGCTTTAAAAACTATAGTGTATTAAAATTCTAGATACTTAAACCAAAGACTAGACTAAACCCTAAATGTTTGAAATAAATACAATTGTAATGCAAGTGAAACGTTCAAAGGACTTCCAAGTATTAAATTATAATCTAAACTTATTCATGTTTTATCACATGTTGCCGCCAAACAAACTGCCACTTTCAATCATATTTGCACGCACCATGTAGAAATCAGTGTAGGCCTACTAAATGTTAAAAAATACACAGGGATCGAACAGAGTTTCATTTTACAAAACCACATAAAATAAACTTGGCCTACCCGAAAAAGAAATCAATTTTCTTGCATTTGCTGGCTGATTTCTCCAGTTCGGTTTGGGCCGCTCTTTTCGCAGCATTGTTGATTTTTCCAATTTTTGTTTTCATTTCAGAACGTAGTATTCAAAAACGTTTGACAATCGGAACACGTTCACGCATGTTGTGACTATCGTCAACTGTATCGTGCGTGCACTGAGAGAAAGAAAGTCGGTTCACTGCACGTAAGATCTGCCGTACATACTCCTGCAGGTATGTGTGTGTACGAATACAGACATTTGTTTTTGCGGCGGGGGTGCCGCTGCTTGAAGTATCGGCACACTCTGGAACTGGACTGGTTCTAGTTTGTGATACCGTGTACATATGTACATGGTACAGTGGGAATCGGGAAACCAGATTCAGTTCGTGTACGTATCGTTTGCTGCGTGCATGTGTATGTACTGTGCGTTGATTCAGCCAGTTTTATCTAGCATAATTTACACCCACAGCCGCTTTGAACTAGGATTTTTTTCAGGCGTGTCAAAATGGTAAAAACCCGTATTTGATGGGGGAAAAACATACGGTTGTATTTTCAACAAATTCCTGTACGAAATACAGCAAAATCGTACTAGTTGGCAGGTCTGAAATCTCACACAAATGCTCGTTCTACCAGATCTGCCACCAATGCCCACCCTTTCACAGTCTCAATACCTAGTTCTCGCACTATATTCCACTCATCATCCTTCATTGTCCGCACGTTCAAATTGTGGAACTCTCTACCACAATCGTGTTTCGGCAAGCGTCTATATGTGTGCAGATTTATGCAAAACACTGCATCTTGACCTTAACATTCTGACCATTCAGCGGGGGCCTTCTGTCACGTCTTCCGTAGCCCGATGTTGTACAAGAGTAAAATGGCAGCTATATAGCCATTGAACAGTTTTGGCCAAATTTTTGCTCTAAACGACGTCACAATTACGTCACAATGAAGTTGAAATAACCTGAAAGCTAAATTTTTTTAAAAACCTCGCAATTTATCTTACCATTCACTACCAAAAGAATACAAAAACAATTTGTGTATGATCATCAAAGCCTCCAAGTTACTTACTGAGGATTACACCATGGCATCCCTTTCCGGCAGTGGTACCTTCCCGCTCAGCTTGCACATCCCCTATGATCAGATCCTCCACTGAGGAAGCTTCCACTGTGAGATTAGGGGTGTTCAGTATCTCCTCCTGCATGTGTCTCTTGTACAGATCCCGGTCGATTTGCGCCCGCAAACCCTGCCGATAAAAAATGGTTAGTTCTTCCTTTAAGTGATACTGAACTAACAAATGTTGTGTAAAAAATCACTCAGTTATCAACATAATTTTAATCCATTTGTTTCAAAGAAATATGACTTCAAAAGCAAAGTATTTAAAAATTTGAGGAGATTTGGCATGTTTTCGTACTCTTAACATGTATCATAAAAATAAGAATACTGCCTATAAGCATTTAGGTATAGAATTCAAATCTTTTGAAGTATTTTACAAAAAGAAATTGTAATTGCTGTTCATCTCTCCATGTATAACAAATAACATTAAAGGTAATGTAAAACATTTGCAAACTTCAAAAAACAAAACTACCAAATTATTATGAAATGCCTTCCTTGACTGTAAGGGAATAATAGTCTCAAGCATCATATAAAATCATTGCACCTCGTGTGCTGTCATTTTTAAGACAAGAGGAATTTAATATAATTTTTTAAAGATGGTTAGGCCCAACCGTTGTTGGAAAAAAAACCTGGCTTTTCCAAATACAGTCCCCGATTGTGCGATATAAAGTTTCTGCAAAGTTTAGGAAGATGATGACTTGACCAAATTTAGTTAGTTCACACTTGGTTTGCATATCCATGAACGGGCGCAGGCCAGCTAGTCTGGTTCCCTGACCTGACAATTCAATGAGGTCTATAAATTGTTCTGTTTCATCTGAAACCTAAGGTCAGGGAACAAGTCAAGAAGAATAACAGTTTTCTTGTTTATTCTGGCCATCCGTGAACACAAACTTTAAACAGGTCAGTGGACTGATATTTGCTATAAAATGATAACCCCCGATTACGTTCATTTCTGAAAATTACAGCAAAAGCAAATGCTGTATATTTCCCTTAAAGATGTGTCCCTTTATAATGCTTGAATTTGCCTGCGAATTCAGCTTCATCTATTGCTTAAGAATCATTAAAATACCTGTATTGCTGAAACCGTATAGAAATAAATACTTTAAATCAATAAAAAGAAGAGGGAAGAAGCTTACATTATAGGATTGATGTTCCGGAAAAATAATACAGACTAATATTGGGCAAGAATCTCTTAATTTTAGAACGTAAAACTATGAGGCCAGAGGCCGGGCTGGGGACACAACAAATAGCGAGATTCCTTACCCATACTGCAGGTCCCTTCCTCCTATTCAGCACCTTAAACTGAATCCCTGCTCTGTCTGTAGTGAAAAGAAAAGTATAAACTGTTAAAAAAATCTTCAAAATACAACCATGTGCAATATAAATGTGTGTGTAAGAAAGAGACAAAATGTGAGAAAGTGAAAAACACAACCTTATTTTGTACATGAGTACATGGGAGCAGATTAAGGTATTTTAACAATGAGCTGCTTGATATAATTAATAGATTTTTTTTTCATAAAATGTGCAAAGACAGGAACTAGGAATCTGGGCTTGACTTAAAGGGAGGATACAACATTTGCAAACATCAAAAAACAAAATGATCAAATTATCACGAAATTCTTTACTGGACTGTTAGGGAATGACAGTCTAAAGAATCCCGTACAATCATGGCTCCTGGTGTGCTGAAATTTTTAAGTGAAGTGGAATTTTTGTATCAATTTCCAACGCTAGTCGGCTGACCAGTGTTGGAGAAAACTGACTTTTTTTCAAAAACTGCTCAAAATTTCTCATATTTAGTTATTCCGCATTTTCTTTGCAATTGATTACACACCTGTGAAGGGCTACAAGCCAGCTAGACTGATTTTCTGACCTTATAATTCCCCAACGTCTATAAATTGCTCTGTTTCATCTTAAGTGGGTCGGGGAACCAGACTACAAGAACATGGTTGCTTTCTTGGTTTTTCCAGCATCTACGAGCGCAAAACGTGAAACAAGTCAGTTTAACAATATTTGCTTTAAAATACTATTCCTCCAAATCCATTTATTTCTGAAAATTACAGCAAAAGCAAATGTTGTACATTCCCTTTAACCCTTTAGTCACTGTACCCCCCCCCCCCACAAAAAAACCCAACCCTGCCTGCTACTCCCTGTAGTGCCCAAAACCGCCTGAGCACTCTATGGTTTGATTAATTCATCAGTGAATAAAGACAATGTAATACAATGTAGTACAGTTTGAACAAATTCCTATTCGATTCGGATACAGAGTCGCCAAAGCCTAATTCCAATTCTCTAGAAAAAAGATATGAAAACATATTGTTGTACCTGCTATTCTTGCGCACAGTCCATCCAACGCGTCAACCTCTCTCATCAGATGGCCCTTGCCAATGCCACCGAATGAAGGATTGCAAGACATCTCACCTGAAACAAGCACAATCAGTAGGTAATCCTAAAAACCTCCATTTCATAAAAATAATACTGCTCTACATTTTTGAGGAAAAAATGGTACTTTAACAAAGCATCAATTAAATTTATCGAATAGTCAGTGGAAAATTATGACTTTTGTGATTGTTCACGAATGTTGACTTTGGAAGGACTTTTGAAGGTTGGAAGGAAATTTGTAAAAAATAGAATCCAATGCTAAGGTTTTTGGTAATTTTTTTTTTTACTTATATCATATCTTATCAACAAATTGTTCAATTAACCCTCCTACTATTTAAGATAGGTCACAAACAGTCATAATTTTCTTCCTCACCTCCTGGCATACTGTGTACAAACCAATGGGGGTCTTGACCAATATTGACCAAGTAATAACCATGGGATTATGGGATTTTGCATTGGGAGATGTAAATTCCATATTTGGTCTTTGCCCTCATGAATATAATTTCATATGCACTTTAAACTCTGTGAAAAATTTCACAAGCTTACTTGGGTGGTATTCGAACCCACAAACTCTACTGCTGATGTCTTGCCCTTTGACCACCAAGCTTGCCTGGGATTAGCTGGCCAGTTTGAAACGGCCAGCTGACCCTGCAAACTGACCCTGGCCAACCCCACAAAAGCGTCCCAGATCGTACACTGACAATAACAGAGACAATGACCAACGTGAACTAAAACTACTCACCAATTGTTGCTATTTTGTGGGTGAGCAGCAGGGTCTTGGCCCCAGACCTGGCAGCAGCCGCTGCAGCTTCACAGCCCGCATGACCACCGCCAACCACCACGACATCATAGTGGTAGTCAGTGGAACCACAGCTAGCTACAACCAAACGATGTAAACAATGTATTACTAGTGACACGTCAATATATCTGATTGTTATAAAACAGCATTTTATAGCAGAAGCCGGCGACCAGAACTAGAAGCAGTTACTGCAGTGGTGCCACACTCACTCGCATGCTGCATGCATTCTGAAAGACAAGGCTCATGCGCATTTTCGCAACTCTATTGGTCGAGGGTCGCATACTACCTGAGCATGACTCGCGCGAGCCTGGTGACGCCTCATAAAATGGCTGTCACTGGATTATTCTATAGACCACTTAGAGCATGCTTTCAATTCTGTAAACAAATGCCCTCTTCAATGGCTAACGCATTGTGCTATATCAGGTAATCCGGCACACGGCAGTTGCTTTGTTCGATAGCATGCAGAATGATTTCTCCATTGAAGGGGGCCTCGTGGGCCATGTACATGTACAGTGATCATGTGCCTAGATTATCTATAGGAGTGACGCCTCGTACTTGTATACAGCTACATGTGCAAGATCAAACAAAGCATTTTAGGAGAGCGGCAATTTGCAACATTTAAAGGACCAAATATTGCATGGCTAAGTGAGAAACAATTTTGCTACAAATGCAACATCAACATTTGTGAGCAGGGGCGGATCCAGAAATTTTTTTCAGGGGGGGGGGTTCATCAGCAAATCAAGCTGAAATGTAGACAGGTTTTTTGTCAGGACACTTGGCTCGGGAAAATAAATAGGTGGTGGTGGGGGGGGGGGGGGGAGGGGCACGTACCATAATTTCAATGGGGGCACTGTTAAAATCAGATGATTATTAACACTATATTACAGGATAGTGTACAAATAACCCAGCTAGCTGTCCGTATTTTGTGCAAAGCTGTATATTAATACCAGCATAATTGTTTTGGGGTGTCTGAGCGGGGGGGTGGGGGGGGGGGGGTTGCATTATTTTGTATGGATTTCTATGGAAACAAAACTGATTTTTGACAGAGCTGGGGGAGGGGGTTGACTTCAACACCCCCCCCCCCCTCCCCCGGGGAGACACAATTTGCAACATTGGTAAGATCGCTAGATGAGCAACAATTCTTTTATATTTTAAAGACAAAACAGTTTACTGCACTTCTTGAAGGAAACCTTGCTTTAGTTGCAAGATCAAAAATTGAAGGTTTCAAGAAAGTGGTGTGCTGCGCTAAGTCTGGCAATGCTGTGTTCTACAATGTATGTCTTGGAAAGATTTCCATATACAAAGTTCACTCATTTTTCTCTGTATTGACTAACAAGCCCCCAGATAGCAATTTCATGTCATCAAAGTCAATTTGAGCAGTGAGAAAATACAAGCATTTTCTTAGAAAACACTTAGAATTTTTCAGTCCAATCTCATAGGGTTTGTACACAGGGTGTTGAGTGAACTTCGTATTTGGAAATCTTTCTGTATGTCTTTGAATTTCTATGGTCTATGGTCTAAATACCTGAACCATTCGAGGTACAGCAGTACCACTGCTGGAGAGTTTCCAAGAGCCTCCTAGTCTTCAACAATGACTGCCGACACCGGTGACTTGCTCTGTGGCACAACATCACTCGCCATCAGCACAACATCACTAAATTGGGTGGAGAATCAAAATCCATTTTAAGATTGTTTTAACATCTCATTTTAGCATCTCATCGTCCCAAAAAGTATGAATTGTCTTCTTTTACTGTTATACAAAAATACAGTGTACATGTATGTAGGCTACTATTTATTGCAGAGTATTTGGAAAGAATTCCATATGTCCTAAAAAGTCAAATTTAGCTGGGAAAATATTGTAACATTTAGTGAGAAAACACTTAGAATTTTTCAGACCAGTCTCATAGGGTTTGTACACAGGGTGTCAAGTGACATCTGTATATGGAATTCTTTCCGAGTATTTCCCTGGAGTAGGCCCACTGATTGGGGCATTACTTTAGTTTAGGACTCCTTTTTCGAATTAGGGATTTGGTCTGCCGTACTAGCACGACAGACCACATCCCAAATGTCAAAAAAAGAGTTCCAGCACCCCAGTGTCTAGTCCTGGAGGGGGCAATGACAATGATTAATTTATAGCGCGTGGAACCAGAGGAAGATACGTCACAGTAAAAAAGTCCCCAAAAAAGGGTCACCGTGCATGTTTAGTGCCGTGTCGGTACAATACTGGAAACAATTGGGGACCGGTTCACGGTCAAATATCCACTGTCCTACTCCTAGCCCAGGTGGACTCCCTACGTTACGGAGTCGTAATGCAATGATGAGGGTGTCCAACCTGGGCTTATCCAATGCCCCTCGCCCTATACGGGTCCTACTAAAATGCGTCAACAAGTGTCAACAAATTTTGTATAGGCTTTTGAACATTAAAAGTAGCTTTATATGATAGAAATAGCAATAAAGAACATCTTCAGCATATCAATTAAAGTTATCATTAGTAAAAATTAAAAAGTAGTTTTTCAATGCGTAACCTACGACGTGTTTGTCAGTTTAGTATCGGCCATACTACGGCTACGCATGCGTGAACTGTACCATTAGCATATTAGAGGTTTCTTTTTGCGAAACGCTTAGTAATACCTCGTTTGGTTTTTGCATTGGTCATGGTACTTTGCTAATTAATATGCCTACTGATCATGCTGACACTGTTCAATAAAATGTAAATATAATTTGTTCTTATTCCTCCATGGTCCACCCAAGCAATAAATGGAATGGTCCAACCAGAGCGACCAGTGTCAATGCAAATACATAAACCGACAAACTCGTCGAAGGTTTCGCGCTGGAAAACAACTTTTTTAAACTTTAACTAATTTTTATTTTAATTGATATGCTGAAGATGTTCTTTATTGCTATTATTACCATATAAAGCTACTTTTAATGTTCAAAAGCCTATACAAAATTTGTTGACGCTTGTTGACGACCGTTGAATAGGACCGCCCTATACCATCATGACCATGTATTGTTGATGTACCCTAACGTGGCGCGGCCCCTAACGTGGCGCACTTTGATTTTTCGCCTGTAGCACCTAGCTAGTGCAAAAGTTTTAACTGGAATTTCACAGAAAGTGAAATTTCATCAAGTTATAAACACTCCCGTTCATAAATCGCGAGTTTATTTACCCACTACAAAGTTAAAAGAAAAAATTATTTTGGCGTGATTTTCCGATTTTATTTTCAAGTGCAAAGTGAACCCTTTGAAAATGCCCCGAAAAATAAGAAAATAATTTTGTGACAAACGTCTGGCTGGGTATGTAGGTAGAAATAATAATGATTTATCAGAATTTATCAAGTTTACAGAAATTCTTAAATGTTAATTTGGAATTTTCCGAGATTTATTTAAGTGCGCCACGTTAGGGAACACTCCGCCAAATTGTGCCCAATTTCCGGACGCCACCGTTTTTAAATTTCGGCTGAAATTTCATAGAACCGAAATTGTTCACAGAGGTTAAACAGCAAGCATTAATAAGGTAAAAGTACCAGTATTTCACTGCATGAATTTGAAGTTTGTCAACAAAGAGGTTTGGCAACACTAGTACACGAGGAAATTTGGGTAAGCTTCGAAGTGCGCCACGTTAGGGAACACGACTATATACAGAAAGAGTCTGTCCGAGAATTGGGCATCTCCAAACCATGTCCAAACTAAGTCGAAGGCAAGGTTATTAAACTCGTAACATTATATTTATTTCGAGCACTATGTTACTGACTATATCACCATCATTTAGCACTTACATGTTACAAAATTTACACCTAAAATTTGGGTTAAAAATCTTGACAAATACATCCGATCCCCGTCCCCGTTCTCCGAAGTAGCAGCATCCACTAGTCGGGCCCCCTTCTATAATATTCATTTCTTATAACGACGTGACGTCTAGTAAATACAGCAACCCACGCGTGAATTCGTGAATTTCTGACTAGTCGGGTGCTCTGAAGCGATCTATATGACTTTTACATAAGCGAGGTCTGGAGCACGTCCAGCTCGATTACATAATATTTTTCCCCGTGAAAACTTTTAGCCAATAATATGAAGACTTCACATGGGAAATCCCCTTACATTTGAATTTGTGTGAAAATGCGAGCAGATGTGTAGCAAAGAATTGAGCCATATCTATAGTCAGATGATGAAAAAATAAAGGGGGAAATCCCTTCAAATTTAGTTAAAAGTACTTCAAAAAGGGGTGGGGGTGGCAGGGAATTGCCAGTTTCAAATGAGGGCGCACTTTAAATAAATGTCAGTACGTCAATAGAGAACAATAACAGCGTTACTAGGATTGATGTCGAGTTACTAGAGAAAAAAAAAATGCAGAATTTTGGCTAACTTCAGGAACCAGGGACCAAAGTGGGGAATTCAACACAGAAAGTCAGTCGTGTCAAGATACACGTATCATTCAATTTACCTTTGAAACCACATTTTCATTATTTTAATTCAACAAAATTTCAACCGATACCAAAATAATATTGTACATGTACAAATCCAGTACAAAAATCCTTGTTTCAAACAAGTGTTCATTAATACTTCGAAATGCATGTAATGCTGATTTCTTGAGCAAATTTCATAATAATTGCATATAATTGGGAATGTCTTTTCATTTTTGGTTTACTTTGATGAACAATTCATGGAGACCACGATATACAATCACAAATTCATACAAATTGTCATCACTACTTGACAATACTACTGATTTCCAGACAAAAAAATAAATAATTACTATATTAAGAATTTAGTAATTGTGTGTTTATAACACATTAAGTATGTCATGAATTTTTCTTCATTGCAAAAATAGTGTATAATTATCATCTTAAAAATAGGCAGATATATATTTTTGTGCATAAAAGTACTTTGATAACACTATGTGCGATAGAATTAAATTGTTCACTCAAATACCTCACTTTTCTTTTTAAATCAAAAATAAATATTTACATTCTGAGAATACTTTGCTAATTTTATTTTAAAACAATTCAGAACATTTCCATTTACGTATGTATAATTCAGAAATCCAAAAAGTTTTTCAACCCTTAAACTTAAATCAAAATCAATTGTTTTTAAAGCATAAATGGCAAACTTCTCAAGAAAGGAAGTGGTTGTGACCTAAGAAAGAAAACAAAAATTACATTATTTAGTTTTACCATGAAACACAAACCTTTAAAGAGTTTGCCGAACTGGCAGATGACTCGTTAATTTACCTTGCCATGTTCACAGTAAATTTTGCTGTCAAATTGTCTGGCAAGACTGTTTGCTTACATTCAACTTAACAATTCTTAACACAAATGTGATGCGATCAAGCTAAATGAATCGTTTGTCGACCCTGGTCAATTTGGTTTATTACAGATTTGAAAAGAGCACAATCTCAGCATTACTGCTGTGAAAACCGCATGCTGATCCCATCTTTAGTTCAAAAACTATGGAAGTCGGAACACCAAAAATTGTGATGAAGTGATGTGATGAATTGGCCCTATTTTAGCCTGTTATCTCCAAATAAAAATTACCGACAAACGACTCATGTAGCTTGATCGCATCACAAATGCTACTTATTAAAAAAACAAACCCAAACTTTAAATGAATAGACAACAAAAGAGTACTGTTTGTACGAGGGTCACATGGGGTCCGGAAGTGTGACATATTTTTGTATCCCTGTTACACCTGTCCTATAAATTTACCGTGCAAGTATCATTAAAAATGCCTTTATAGGCCTACTATTTTTTCATATGTTTGGCAGATACTTCGCTTTACATAATCACTCCTGGAAATAGAAGGCAGTGTCCTGCACCTGATTTCACGAAGTGCTGTGACGCGTCGCAACACAAGCTACGACGTGTAATATGTCGCAACTCGTCGTATGATCCATTTCATGAAACTTACGACGCGTCGTAAGTTCCTTGACAACGGCTTAAAACACGTCGCAAGTTACGACGTGTCTGGTGGTCATCGCAAAATAAGAAGCATTCTTTTCTTAGCCAGTTTTATGCCAAAAAAGTACATAAACGAGACTATAATACTGAGACAATGTGTGTAATATGTAAATAGAAAATTCATTGAATAATTATGAATTAGCGTGGAATATTGCAGTTGAAATTTCAAAGTAGCTAAACAGTCCACTGAGAGCTTGTTTTCCTTTAAAATTGCATCACACTTCCACCATTTTGTTTTAAGTTTTAAAACTTTTCAAGAGGAGATCCGACGACTCTTTGTTGAATATCAGACAACTATTTACTGTACGCTGAATAAATACTTTTAAAACAGTCTCTGAGTTGTGCTATAAATACACCTACAACGCGTCGCACTTACGACGTGTTTTGTGAAATGGATCGCAGGATGCGTCGCAGCTGTGATGCACCGTAGGGATACTACGCATCGCAGTGCTGCGATGCATCATAAGTTACGATGAGTTTCATGAAATCAGGTGCTGAATTTACAAAATCTTCCATCAGATGTAACAGGGACACCCAAATAAATTTGGACCCCAAATATTTGGAATGACCTATTTAGCAACACTCCGTGAAGCTGCATGATCATTACGTTGACTGGACTTCTGGCAGGCTGTTCAAACTCTGACTGACCTCCCCTCTCATTCTGTACTGTTTGTTGCTGTCCCTGTTGAACTCTCCGGAGGGAGGATGTCCACAGCATAGCACAGCTTTTTGCTCTTGACCCAGCTGAAGCTGTTGTCAAAGATGACTACATCTGAGAAACAAAAACCAATCCCAATGATTACAAAAAAAGGCAATTTAAGCTTGAAAAATAGAAGGAGAGGATTTAAAGAAATTTTCTGCAATAGCTTGAACAACAAGTCTTAAAGCAGCCCCATGATACTGGTTCGGCTCCACAGCCCAATTTCAAAGCACTTCTTATAAACGCAAGTACTAAACTGGTACTAAACACCCCGTGAAATTATTCCGTCTGGCTTGCTGTCATTTCGAAGGAATCACAAAATGTAGGTGATTTCCAACGATCAGTCAAGAGACTGATTTTGGAATGAAAGAAAGCTATTGATGAAATTGTCTTTCATGATCCAAAGGTTGTGCATGGGTTTTTCACAGTTTTCTCAAAAAGTGTAACATCCACTGAGCTGCAAATTCAACAGGTTAGGTTTTGAACATTCTTCTTTGGATTTTGAGTGGTGTTATTAGGCCAAAAAAAGTCTCTGGTTTCTGGTATGAAGCTTGCCCCCAACGTGGTGCGTTGTTTTTTCCCCCTACTTTTTTTTCTTCAAATGTCGGCTAATGTTGCAGATTACGCTTCGATCCCACTTAAAACTCCCAAAAAAATCCTTCAGAGTGGAGCTTGAGGTGACCTCAGTAAGGCCATAGGCTTGAGAATTCTGCACCCACTTATGATCTTGACCAACACGAACATTCTTCGGGAAATTTGGATAGTGAAGACAAAAATCAGAGAAACGGTAGTAACGTTATAACTTAGACCATACAGCGACATCGACAACGTGCATGAGCTGCCAGGCTGGTCATTAGTCTGCTCCCTCAATATTGCGCTAATTAAAAGCGTTTACAGGTTCCAGATACACGACCATCGCTCCCTCAGTCTGGTTTCCAGACGCACTATTACAAAATTACAACACCATCTGCAAATGGTGTCCGACTAAATTAAGTGCAAAATATATGGGAGCCCAGAGAGGCCACATAAAGCCTATACGATCGTAACCCCATCTGAAAACTTGTTAGAATTGTGCAGCAGCAGGATTCCAGTTAAACCAGTGTGTTTGGCGGTTTGGAGACATCATCTTACATTGAAAAAAACAAAACTTTTTAATTTTGCCGACACGCATGGCTACGGCGACACGCGCGCATACCAGAAACCAGAGATTTTTTTTGGCCTTATTGAAAACCAACAGAAAGCATGGAAAGCAAATGATCCTATATACCTTTAAAGGGTTAGAGCAGCTCTGTTAGCATAGAATGGTGATCATAAGCACAGAATTATGAGGACAGCAGAGCCATAAAATTGGGCAAGGGTGTCAAAAGGTGAAATTACAATACTCACAGGTTCCAACTTCGGGGCACTCCACCACGCCACTCTCAGGGACTAGTTGGGATGAGAAGCGAGCACTGGGCAGGATCTCAACCAACTCGGTGGAGCTGCCGGACGGCTTGCGATACACGCCAAAGCCGATGTCATCCTTCTCAGTATGAAACTCCCACCTGACAGGGAGATAGGGAACAAGACTGATGTTTTACATTCAACTGTGTAACTTTGAGGTTATCAGTCTATTCTAGTGGTTTTTCTTGTACCGCAAGTCTGATTGATGCCATTTTGGATGAGGCAGAAAAACAAAAGAATTGTCAACATGTTGAACACGGATTAAGTCCAAATTCATAATTTTGTCATTCTTAGTGGTATATCGAAATTACAGGCAGAGTTTGCTCCTCGAAACAGTGAAGAAAACTGAAGAAGGAAAAAAAGTGTCCTTAAGACTCATTTTGCAAGATTCAGTCACAAATGGGCAATTACAGAAGCGTGAGTTTGTGTACAATACCGGAGGGCTGAGAGTGGAATTGTGACTTCCAGAGGAATCTGTAGCTTAGCACCATAAGCGACCGTTTCCTTCTTAAGGTTACTGGAGCCGGATAACTGTAGCTCCTTCAGGTAGTAGGACTTGGGCACTTTGCCTCCATACCGGATCTGCAAGAGATGAGAAAGAAGGACAGAGAACTTATAAATCATCAGTAAAGAAGGAACATTTTTCTAAACTTCCCCTGTTTTAGAATATTTGTCTTAACTTCTCCCGTTTTAGAACATTTTTCTTAACTTCCCCTGTTTTAGAACAGTTGTTGGTATAAAGTGAACTTTTCAATCCCTTAAAATACTGTGACATGTGGTTTAGTTGTGGTCTGATCCCCTTGACCCCCTTATTTTATGTGAGAACTTAAAGGGATATTTCGGCCTGGAAAGCACCCAATTGGGCTACGAAATGCCTTTTAAACAAACTGATGTTATAAAGAAAGAGCATTTAAAAGTAGAATATCAACGTCCACACAACCATCCTTTAAAAATCAGCATTTTTGTGTTATTATTGCGAGAACCAAGCGAGAACAAAATTTTGGGGGTCAAAATTTTGTCTCTGAAAAATCGAGCTGTTGAGTGCTAGTTGTAATCCAACCGCACAGTGGTTCGCATTCTGCGGATGTGTGAGAAACAACATTTGTGTATTGGTGCTGTGTGTATTATGTACCACACACACACAACGTGTACGGTATATTGAATATGCATGACTTGAAATACGCATGGTTATGCAACAAAATGTCCGTCCTGTCCGATGTAAACAACCGTGTTTTTTCGTCTTTTCCTGTAAGACATTAGGTTTGTTTCTTTTCAACCAGACCTTTGAAATAGTACATGTATAAGTAAACAATCCAAAACATGAAGTTAAATTCACTGGCTTTTCTAAAATCAAAGGCCAATTTTTTTTGACCTGGTAAACTTATATTATCAATCCCACACCATCATTACTCAAATATATCTTATCAAAACCAACCTAGAATTGTTTTATTACAGTAAAAAGAAATCTTGAATGTTCACCTTTTCACTGCACTTTGGGTCGCCATTATCTATTGCTGTACCACCATAATGCTGTGGTAGCTGGTCTGCACTAATCACCTCCAATAATTTACTCTTGTAGTTGCCTAGAAAAGGGGAGACAATAAAAAGTTGTTGTAATCATATAATAACAATTTATGTGTATTTGTAAAGTGCACGTATCCACCAGTATTGGTGCTCAAGGCACTTTCATTATTACATGTACCCTGCTCATTGGGCCAATGAATCATTCCAAAGACAATGTCAGCTCCCTGGGGAGTATACAGCTCGATGCTGCCTGTTAGGTGCAAGAAGCTAATTCAATCACAATAACCATCTCTGCCCTCACAGGTACCCAATCACTCCTGGGTGGGGAAAAGCAATGAGTGACAAAATAGTGCCTTGTGTATATTAGTGCACTCGCACCATAACCTCAGACTGGACTCGAACCCGTAACCTGCAGAATTACCTGCAGAACATGAAGTTCAATTATGCTGAAAAAAAAACACGAGGCCACAGCACTCCACAAGGAAAAATCCCTTATATCACAGTTAAGGCTGAGAATTAGCTCATTCCAAAATCAAATAATGCACATTGTGGTAAAAAACAAATTTGTAATTGAACCAACCTTGGATCCTGCCATTATCAGAAAAGCAGTCTTTTAAATTGATTTTCCCCCCCCCCATGCATTTCACACTTTGGAATCTTAGAGTAAATACAATTTTACATGGAGACACTGACAGGACTCGTAGCAAATACATTGAAGTTAACTTGATAATTCTGATAACTAACCAAACCCAAGAACATACCATGTTTTTCATTGCTTCAGCAATCAAGAAGTACTTTTGAAGGGGGGGAGGGAAGGTTCGAAGAGTCAGTTTAAAAGTGACTAAATGTGAGGCTGTCTGGCAAAATGGGACGGAATTGGGCACAGGCTGTAGTGAAGAAAATTGCAAAAGAAAAACAAATGGGGGTGAATTTTTGTTTGTTTGATTTTCAGATTTATTGTTATTTGTAATCTTTGATATGTCTACTACACACAGACACATATTTGGAAGAAATAGTACGAAAATCATTGAGTAAAAAAGTGTTTTTAAGGAAAAACAATTGCCATTGTTCATTTTCACGACTACAAAACTCAAAACTTTAAATGCCTTTTTCTCAGTATTTCATTTCTTTTGACATGCCAATAAAAATTAATGCAAACCTTAAAACCCATGACTTGTCAACAAAATGTCCAATTGAAATGCAGCAAATAGTATTGTAAGGAGAATCTTATATCTTATCATATTTTATATTTTATATATCATTTTTATACATATTGCCTAATATCCACAAACCCTTATTTCTCATTTTACCAGAACACCTCACAAATAAGAGTTCAACCTTACCTCCAAAGAATCTGACCTTTGTCCTCGTATCAGCGCTGAGGAAAGGCTTGAAGAGATTGTAGCCCACTGACACCATAGAAGGAGCTAATTGGAGAAATGGGATAGTTACTGTCAAGGATTGCTGTCAGAATAAGTGGTGAATCTGAAGACACACATGCAGGGGTGTGGGGGACTAGGTGGCACTGGCAGGTCCTCATAAGCTTGAGGGGGTACAGTGGAACGCCGCTATACTGAACACTGCTATACCGAATATTCGGCTACACCGAACATCAGCCTTGGCTCCCGGTTTAAATGCACACAACGTACCGAAAATAGTTGTTAAAAAAAGTCAACAGATTAACAAAAAAAATTACCGGTTGTACATGTTTTAAACACTATTTGGGCCACTTTAACTTCCCAAACATCAAACGACCCATAGTTACATCATGTTTGAATGGTCAAGAGCGATAGATGGCTATTATTTCCCCAAGGAATAGAAGGGAAAACCAACCGTTGCTAAAGTTTCATGACGACTCCTCGTGCGGCCGCAGGATGTTGGAAATGTCACTTCATTATTGGTCAAAAGAGGGTACCAGCGGCTCAAAATCACCAAACCGAACGATCGTTATTATGAACACTTTCTGTGGATCTCACGATGTTCGTTATAGCAGCGTTCCACTGAACTATGCATTTGTTGATAGTCTCAAACAACGAAAACTTTTTAATAATAAGTTTGCGATTGCAATTTGTTTACGGAGATTTTTTTTAAAATTTATGTGGTTCTGAAAAGAACCAATGGAATATACTCAATATTTTGCACAGAGTGCTGATCTGCATGTCCTCGGGTGTCCCATATGGATTCCTTTGGGGAACTAACCCACCGGTCTTTACATGTATGTGAAACCTCTATGAGAGAACACAGCGAAAAAATCATTAAAAACGGGCCCTTTTTCACATCTGTCACCACCACTTCATTATTCGACAGAGTATACCTTAGTTCTTACTACAGTATGACCCTAACAATATACTCTTTCAGAAAATGATGTTAAACACTGCAGTTTTAGTCAAAAATCTCCCTGTTTTGTGTGTAAACCATGCGTTCAGCCAAGAACTGGTCCATTTACATCATCACAACGTTGAATAGCGCCACCTGGGAGCTTAGTTCTCTCGAGTCATTTTTTCTTCGTCTCGTCAGCTTTCCAACAATATAACCCTTATTGTGATTGGTTGAGGTTTAGGCTCACGTGTATTCATTTACAAAAGAATTGTTCATCTAAACTCCAATAAAATTTGCCGTCGCTCATGGCTCAGCGCGTAGGGTCTGTTTATTGTACACGTGCTAGGCAGTGCTAGTGTATATACACAGAGCCCGGGAGCTGTTATCTCTATGTCCAAGGTCATCTGGCTGTGCGCTTTTGGCCGGTTTACATGGGGTCCTTTTGACCACAAAGGATTTGATACGCCTGACATTAGGCAGAGCATATTGTTTGAGACGTTGAGTTTTCTACCATTTCTTCTCAGACCCACAGAAACTCACAAAAGATATTTCCTTTCACATAGTGCAACTGCAAATTTGCTCTTGTTGCTGACTTCGGGGAACAAGGGGGGGAAAGGCCTTGATTGTGGGAATCATGCCCCTCTTTAGCTCAGCCCCCTTATTTACATCATTTAAAGCTATAGTCCATCATTTGCAGCCATCCGAAAAAGTAACTGGCGTATTATTGTTGAAAAACATACTTGGTTGAAAGATAGTAAGTGGACTAAACTCCCTGTGAAATTAATCTTTCTGGCAAGCTATCATTTTGAAGTAATCAACGAAAGAAGGCCTTTCCAACGGTGCGTCTTAAGACGCACTGTAGGAAAATTGAAATTAGTAGTTCGTTTTGTTATTCGGCGCAGCGCGCGCAAGCATTGGCAATTATTGGTTGCTATAATTCGTCGGATCAGTGCACGACATCGCGTATAGCTGCAATTCAAAACAATTCAAAACATGATTCAGCAACTTTTGATTTGAAATTGAGATCCTAGAATGCTGTTTTTCTCGGAATATACAGCTGAAGCTGAGCTGAAACTTCATCAGGTTAGTTGTTCAGTATCCTTCATTAGATTTTGAACACTTTTGTTGCTTCAAACGAACAAAATGCACAAATTACAAATGATGGACTATATCTTTAATAATAAACAGCTAATAGTTGCTTTGGCCAGTAACGACAAATGCGCCTATAGGCACGGCTGCAGCCAAGTCATTCAGATTCAGCCTAAGCAAAGGAACACTATGCACTCGATCAATCATAGAACGAAGATTCCGTGCACTATGAGTACCATTTTTGTGATTCAAACCAGACGTACCATTGATGATAAAACACTGATGAAGGGTCTCGGGGTAGTTGGCCTCAAACTTGCTGAGCACATCAAAGTAGACATTGAGGAACGGCATCCAGAGATGGCTGAGGCCTACCTGGTCCAGGTCAAGAATCATGGTCAGATTATCGATCCTGCGGCCATGCTGTTGGATAAGAGTAAGATGGAATATGAGGTCAGAGGTCACTGTTATCTAACTTCAGACTGGCTACCCGTCTTCATGCATACATGTACGAGTTTGCTGTAATCTCTTTCAGTCATTTCCCTCTTTTCTTCTTAAGTACCTTTTTGGTTTGTTCCTCGAACCTTCGGTAGATGGCTTCACATATCCGCAGCTTGTACCTGACAAAGTCTGCCTTGATGCTGGAGTAGATGATTCCCTTGCAGTCCACCGTGCCGTAGGCTTCATAGTAGACCGGCCGGCCTTCCTTGTCTTCCCCAAACAGCCCGCCGATCATGTGTCTCTCCAGGACCTGCACCAAGGAATGAGGGAATAAAGATGACATGCATCTGCTTGGAGTCAATGCGAGGGATGTACACGACGGACAGGGCCAAGTGGAGGAGAACCAAAGCAAGAAAGCAGGCCAACCCAGAACAGACTGGACAACGGCCTCAAAACCGACGATGATGATGATAAAAGCTTTTTTAACCCTAACTCCCCAGGCCTTTTTGCTAGGATGTAGCCTCAATCCTGCAAAATCCTCCAATTGGCCTCATGGAAAAATAGCATATAGCCTCCGTTATTTCTTGAATATGGTCCATGGAGGGATGACCACTGCCTGAATCCTGCAAAATCCTCCGGCTATGTCTGTCAATAGGCCGAGGCAGAGGCAGTGACATCCTGGAGCAGTGCGGAGGATGTCAAGTATAATCAAAGACTAAATTTATGCACGGCTGAGCATAAACAACACAAGGTCTGGCCCAAGACCTTGACACAGTGCATACTCAAAAATCAGCAACGCACTTTTGCCATGTAACCTCAATCCTGCAAATTCCTCCAATTTGCAAAAAGGATTTTGGAGGATTCAGGGCGGTTAGGGTTAAAGAGTCTACATCACTGCCTACAGATTGTATGCAGAATTCTACTGATGTTAGAGATTGGCCAATTTGGATTTCAACAGACATGACAGAAATGTTCACAGACTTTGCAGAATCTGCAGGCGATCAAACATATTGAAGCAATACGGTTATCAGTCACACTTTATCACAAGCTTGTCTAGGATCTACCTGAAGAAATTATTTAAGAAACAACTCCTCAAGACTACTTTCAACAAGGAGTCTGCAGATTGTCTGCAAATGGTCTTCTGAATTCTTCCATTTCTACAGTCTAGCCACTCTGCACACTTTGCCCAAGTTCAGACTCAAAGTTGGAAGGCAGCGTAGCAGTTTAGGGCCGTCCATAAAATGTGCGCATACAATTTGCTTGTAATATTTTGTCACGTAATTTCTCATATTTAATACCGGGGGGGGGGGGGGGGGGGGGAGAGGCTTGGAACCACTGGGTATGCCATGCATACAGTTACACTACCTACCTACCCTATTTTCAAATGCCATGTAATCGGAAGTAGAACTATTTTATTTTTGCCCAAGGGGAAGCCAATATGTATGCACGAAATGTGGACTTTTAAACCCCTTCCCCCCCCACTCCCCTTCCCCACCGTCCCCCCCCCCCCACACAAGACTGACGCATTGTGTTTTATCTGTGATACTTGGAACCAGTACCCTACTATAACAACCAAATCTGTGCCTGACACAGATAAAGTTCTAAGATAGTATCTAATTTGTAGACTCTTCAGACGGTCAATATCGAAGCAGCAGGTTTATCAGCCACAGGCTAGATTTACCTATCAGTCCAGCCCACAAAGGATTAGTTTCCCAAAGATAATCAGTTGTGGTGTATTTGATGAATTACGTTACATAAACCAATGACATAATGATCTGATAGCTTCTGTAACATATACATTCCTGTTCAGACTCCTGGTTCAATACCTGCAATTTCTTTGACTCCTCTAATACTTCTCAGTGGCAGATGGGGGGGGGGGGGGAAATGCAACCCCCCCCCCCTTCAGCCGCTGAACTGTTATACTAGTAAAATGGGGCCAAACATAGTTAAAAAAATGCTGAAGATATTTCATTTATTCTCAAATTGCCTTAGAATGCAGAGAACTTAATAGCACTGTAGATTTTAAAATTGTTTGGGGGGGGGGGGGGACATTCCCCGGACTCCATATCACTTCACTCAATTATAAACCCCCCCCCCCTTTCCTGAAAGCTTATAGATCCACCCCTGATTCTTACCTCTGGTGCCTCCCATTCTGACACGATGTATTCAATGTTCCACTCTTTACAGAAGGCAATGTGCTGCAGAATCAACAGAAAAGAATGACCGACATTGATTATATAATAATAGCAGATTAGCAGGAGGAATTCCAACAAAACCGCAACCCATTCCACTATGTTAATGGGACCCCAATAGAAATAAGCCCATGTGATAAACTTTAAGCCCATGTGATAAAAAAGTAAGCCCTTGTGATAAACTTAACCCTATTAAACTACCTAGGCCTTTTTTGCTAGGGTGTAGCCTCAATCCTGCAGAATCCTCCAATGGGCCTCATGGAAAAATAGCATACAGCCTCAATCCTACAAATTCCTCCATTATTTCTTGAATGTGGTCCGTGGAGGGGTGACCACTGCCTGAATCCTGCAAAGTCCTGCGGCAGTGACTGCCAATATGTTGAGGCTTGGCCAGTGATATCCTGGAGCAGTACGGAAAATTTCAAGCATAACCCAGGCCTATATTTAAGCATGGCTGAGCAAAAACAACACAAGGTCCGACCCAAGACCTTGACAAAGTGCATCCTACGAAATCAGTAACCCATTTTTGCCACGTAACCTCAATCCTCCAACTTTGGCAAAGAGGATTTGAAAGGATTCAGCGCGGTTATAGGCCATTCATTTAAACTACTTGCAGTGATGTTAATAGATTTTACTTTGGGGGAGGGGGCTAAGGGGGCAAATAAAATCAAAACTCACATCTCGCAACATCTTTTCTGATTTGTCTAGGTCAAATGATCTGGCTAGGTATAAAAATGAACAAATGAAATAGGACAACTTTTAATACAAGCCAAATACATTATGTAAAGTAAGGGAATACACGAGGAGCGCGCCATTCGTGGGTGAGAATGGACCGAGGGCGAACCATTCATCACGCACGAACGGCGCGCTACCTAGTGTATTAATCTACTTAACACCCTCCACGAATTCTTCATTATTGCTTGGACGAAGGCCTTTGTACATTGTTGAAAAATTGTAATTGATGGTACTTGGTAGATAAATTAACGTTCAATACATAATGAAGTGAAATAATTGAATGTGCGCTCACCATGGCTGAATTTACTTAACAATAATGTTCACATAAATTTAGCAAAAGAAAAGATGCTTTATCTTTTATCAATGAGATGATCTTTCTGTGCAAATATACGTTTTAGCTGGTATGGTAAGCACTTTATTTCATGGGACTCTAAAATACACTCCATCCTTGCTACTGTTGCATTTTGAATCTTTTTAAAATGATTTCTTCAGCACAAAAAAGTGTATACATTGCATTAATTATCAACTTTGGGGAATATAAATAATCCAAAAATAAATAAAAATGTATCGGAACCCCACAGTAAGGCCCCCCCAAAAAAAGGTCAGTCTCTGGTCAGCGCGCGCGTCGATTTTAAGCATGCGCGTCGATCTTTTTTTTTTCCAAAATGTTCCGCGGTAGCTCCAACAGCGCCCTCTATTTCCGCACCTCCTCAATTTTTTTTTACCAAAGAGCACCAAGGAATGGGAAATTGCACCAAGGCAAATGATCGAAAGCACCAAGGCAACTTATGGAGGACACCAATGTACATGAGGACACCAAAAAAGCAAAATAGTACCCACCTTGTCTGTACAATCCAAGCTTGAAGAAAAAAAAAAAAAGCAAAAAAAAAAAAAAAAAAAGCCGCGTGGCCGCGTCAATTCTGGAACTTTGGTCTGACCAGAGACCAAATATTTTTTTTTTTTGGCCTAACATGGGTTTATCTACGGTACATGCATGTATTTCCCTAAATAGCACTCCCAAAAACTGCCAATTGCTTTGCTTCATATAAAGCTTTTCACTGAAAAAAAAAAGAAAACTACAGTGATGAAAAACGTCTCATTTAAAGGGAATGTACAACATTTGCTTTTGCTGCAATTTCAGAAATAAATGGATTTGGAGGATTAGTATGTGATAGCAAATATTGTTAAACTGACTTGATTCATGTTTTCAGTTCGGAGATGCTGGAAAATCCAAGAAAACCAACCGTGTTTTGGAAGTCTGGTCCCCTGACCCCACGTAAGATGAAACAGAGCAATTTATAGACTTTGGAGGATTGCAAGGTCAGAGAATCAGTCTAGAAGGCTTGTACCCCTTCACAGGTGTGTAATCAATTGCAAAGAAAATGCGGAATAACTAAATATGAAAAAGTAGGAGCACTTTTTGAAAAAAGTCAGTTTTCTCCAATGCTGGTCGGCCGACCAGCGTTGGAAAAATACAAGTTTTTCTTGAAAATGTCAGAACACCAGGAGCCACGATTTTACAGGATGCTTTTGACTGTCATTCCCTCACAATCCAGTAAGATATTTCGTGATAATTTGATCATTTCATTTTTTGATGTTTGCAAATGTTGTATCTTCCCTTTAAGGCTTTTCTTAAATCTACAAATCTGGGAAAACCCAGCGTGTCACCCCTGTTAAAATACAGACACGCTATAGGCTAACAGAGTACCACGGAAACAAAAAAGATCAAAATTAAATACATTAATGATACTTACCTCTCAGCCAGCGTAAAACATAGTGATCATCGTGATCTTCTGTCAGTAAATCCGAGACTCTCTCACGGAACTATTAAAGGAAAATAAAAACAACAATAGGTTTAGGCAGAATGAATAGTCTACTACTTTGAGATATGTCTAAATAGCAAAATTATGCCTCTAAATAAAAAAAAAAGTAGAGCACAACTTACCAGCTTCAATTTCTCGGCTTGTTTTGGGCTGAGGTCTCCTACACGTCCACTCATTTTACCCAGCTTAATACTTTCAACTCACTAAATGTTATAAACATGAGAAAGAGAATTATTTATACACAGTCTTTATATCTACCTTATCAGGAAAACCAAAAACAAAATCTCTGTTTTTAATTTCAATTTTTAATTTTAAAACTAATTTTGTGTACATTGTCCCCCCCCCCAAGTTGTATCAGAAAAGGGAGTTAATAAAAAGCCAACTTCTACAATCTTTGAATAATGAAAAAGTACACAAAAAACTTCAGTGCCAATCTTAGTGCCAACTCATAATAGGACTTATTAGGAGTGGGAGAATTAGGCCAAAAAAAAAATTGTTCTGCTTCCGATTACATGGCATTTGAAAATACGGTAGGTACAAATGTAGGTAGGAAAAATTTTTTTTGCCAATTTTTTTTGTGTACGATCATATGGAGGCGTCTGCGTGAAGTCAAGGGTAAAAGGTAGAAATTGATGGTTTGGGTGTTTTTTTCTCATTTTTCCCATAAAAAAATTAGGGTAGGGGCTGTCAGAATAGGGTAGGTTAGGGAAACCGGAAGCAGAACTATTTTGTTTTTTGGCCTTAGGAGGGGAAAAATGTCGCAACCTGAAGCCACTTCAGTGGTTGTGTACAAAGTCTATGGAGAGTCAAGAAAATTTTCTAAGTATTTCCTAACAAAATTGGAAATGTTTCTTAGTCTCAGATTCATGCCTTATCATCATTTTTGCAATTTGACTGCCCTTCATTGAGATGATATATGAAGAAAAAAGTGGCATCAAGTAGCAACGTTTTTTTTCCAAAAGAGTTGTTATTTTGTACATGTACATGTACATGTGATTATATTACAGTTATAACAAATATCCCTTAGGCCAAGAAATTAAAACCTGTGTGTCCTATAGTGAGGCTATACTGTCAGTGTGATAGTTCCGGATCATCGACAGTTCCGGATCACTAAAATAAAAATTAATTCAAGTGTAACCAAACTTTTTTTCGAGATTTGTTTCCACCAATTTGAAGGTCTTTCATTTTGCAATAGTCGGGGAAAAGAAATTTGGAAATCACTTCAACGTACATTACCAACGATCAAGTTCGGCGAAATATCTGCTTGTTTTGTAACTGGCCTGTGAAGGAACCTAAATCTTTTTATTTGAAAAAAAATATAAATAAATAAAAGGAAAAAACCTTATGGTACCACACCCATTTGCGGAAGCTGTCCTGAATTTTAAAAAATTTATAAGGAAGTGTATATTTAGCCAGCTAGATTTAGCCGGCTTCCGTTCAGTAAATATAGGCCAAGTAAAATAAAAAATTGATCATCCCCGCCCGCATCCTTTTTTTTTTGGAAGAAGCGTCCCGTATTTTTTTTCTCACCTCAAAAAGCTAACTTTTTCTTGTATTAATTCGCTTCAATAAAATACATAGAACATGATGTTTAACATGATTCATGAATACTTTGACTCTACTTACTTAGCTACAGCTGAGGGCCACCAAATTTGTGGTAACGAAACTTAAAATTAGACGAAGGAGTTTAGTACTAGTTCGGTGGATTTCTAACTTCGTTAACAACTGTTGATGTCACGCCCCAACTATCGCATCGGTCCCAACTATAGTTGGGACTGTCCCAACTATAGTGCGGCAGTTGGGTCGGCCCAACTATAGTTAGGACTGGAGTTGCGCCGGATGCGTCATGCTTGATAGATCTTGTTGGATTAATGTTCCGCGGCGCTGGCACCGTGTATTCGTCGTGCATGCATGCCGCAAGGCTGGCCGGTCACGTGGTACTGCCTAGTTGGATGAGTTGTCCAGTGGTGGGTTTTATTGTCCAGCAACATTTTGCAAAATTCAAAGATTGCCATGGCCGGCCAACTATAGATGGGCCCCACCCATAGCTAATGTCAAAGGTCCCAAGTAAAGTCGGACAGTATGTAACAGAGCTGTAGGGAATGTTTTATAGTCGTCGTACATCAATGTAAACTATAGTTGGGACCGCCAAATAAAAATATTGCGGTGGCCCAACTACAGATGGTCCCCACCCATAGATAATTTCATTGGTCCCAAGTAAAGTCAGATGTGTATTAGAGTTGTAGGGAATGTTTTATAATCGTACAACAATGTACACTATAGTTGGGACCGCAAAATAAAAAGATTGGAGTGGCCCAACTATAGATTCGCCCCATCAATAACTAATTTCAGTGGTCCCCAGTAAAGTCAGACGTGTATCAGAGCTGTAGGGAACGTTTTACAGTTGTACATCAATGTAAACTATAGTTGGGACACCGCAAAATAAAAAGATCGGAGTGGCCCAACTATAGATGGGCCAGCCCAACAGTGGAACTTACAGTTGGGACCGTCCCAACTATAGTTGGGACAGGCCCAACTATAGTTGGGCCAGCCCAACTGTGGAACTACAGTTGGGACAGGCCCAACTATAGTTGGGACAGGCCCAACTATAGTTGGGACCGATGCGATAGTTGGGGCGTGACATTGATAAAGGCCTACATTCGACTGAAAGATGATGCCCTATTAATATAAAGGCTTCGGATAAATAACGTCTAGAGACGGAATTAGCTCGAGAGTCGAGTAACTCCAGCCGACATGCTCATATTCATATTCACATGTGAATGAATATGAATTATGACATGTCACTTTATTGTCAGTCAGCTAGACGGAATACTGAATTAAAAAAAAATACGCTTATGAAGTGACTAACCTCTCAAAATTCCATAAAGTGCGTAGAGTAGCTAAAGACGTGTCTTTCTCATGAAACTTAACCTTGCCTTCTGAGCTAATTATCATAAGGCTTAAAATAAGTTAAAATGTGTAATCGTATGCCATGCCGTCGACGTCGCTGGTTGTCTAGTCTAGCGCCCCCTATAGTTTTTGAGATGTGGGGCGATATGACAAGGGGCGAAGTGGCAATAGCGAATCGAACGATATAGCCACCGGGGCAGATTAAAATGTAAGGAAATGACATAGGCGAAGGGGGCGAATAAAGTGATATAATTTGCGTTCATTCGTAAACTATTTTGAGAGGAATGAGGAAGCAAATGTATTCGCGATCAAATGAATGGTTTGCGTCAGCTTTTTAACAGAAAAGTAGCATATATTGTCCAGATGAAAGAAAGTAGAATCTGTTAAAGATGAAACCGTTTGCGTGTCGGCTCTACATATGTTACATTTTGCAAGGTAAAAAAAATTTCATCTTGCTGGTGTTCACGGAAATGTCGTCATGGTCGTTATCTCTTGATCGTGTTGACATTTGTGTATAAACTGTAGCCTAGCCCTAGCCCCACTAGTCATGCTAGTGTGGCGTCGGTCATGTCGGTAGTACAGCCAATTCTGTCATTTGTCATGTTTCTGATTTAACCCAGTCAGTCCAGGTGAACAGAGCGGCATTGATTTTACTTTTTAGTAGGGCCTATTTGTTTGTTATGAACAGATGAATGTTCATTGACAATGACATTGCCAATGCCATGATTGCTCACATGTGGAAAACACCCGAATACAACCACAATCAATAGGGACCTAGGCCTACCGGAAAACAAAACAACAGGAAAACGACTGGAAAACACAGCCATGACAGCGTTGGGGAGGGAAGAAATTTTCGCCAAAAAGGGAAGAAGGGGTTGATTTCCATATTGATTTGCGTTGGTGTCTGGCATGTCCTGTGTTTTTACGGTAGTTGTCTGCTTGTTTTTCCGGTGTTTTCTGGTGTTTTCTTGTGTTATTTTGTTGATTTTCTGTGTTTTCCTGTTGATCTCTGGTGTTTTCCTGTGTTTTCGGGTGTTTTCCTGTACTTTCCGGTACTAGTATTACTTGAAAAGATTTACATGTACATGTAGGCCTATAGGCCTACTCTTAATTTTTTTTCTTTAATTAAGATTTTATAGTGGGCCTACACATGTTAAACTTAAGTTCTAGGCCAAAAGTACTTAAAACTACAAAGAAGGTGAACTTAAAACTACAAAGAAGGTGAACGAGCTGGAAATAGACTTTTTTTGGATAAACGTTGGGGAAGCACCGTATTGTGAATTGCTCCTATTCAGCTAGAACCGAAAGTCAGCATTAGGACTCTGTCGCTTAGTCACACTGTCAGTCACCACTCACTAGGCTGGCTCAGCAAAAAAAAAAAAAAAAAACATGCAGGGAATAAGGTTTAACTTAACCCTAACCTTCCCAAATCCTCCAAAATTGGACGATGCACTGTGTCAAGGTCTTGGGCCAGACCTTGTGTTGTTTAAACACAGCCGTGCATAAATTTAGTCCTAGATTATACTTGAAATCCTCAGCACTACTCCAGGATGTCACTGGCTCTGCCTCAACATATTGACAGTGATTGCTGGAGGATTACATTCTCACTGAGCCGATTGCAGCTACACAATGTCACGCACTGATCCGACGAATTATAGCAACCGTGCGCGTGTGTGCATCGTGTCAACGCTTGCGCTCGCTTCGCCGAATAAAACTACAAACTACTAACGGAAATTTCCAACGATGCGTCTTTATATGCATCGTTGGAAAGGCCTTCTTTTGTTGATTTCTTCAAAATGACAGCATGCCAGAAAGAATAATTTCACAGGGAGTTTAGTCTCCTTACTATCTTTCAACCAAGTATGTTTTTCAACAATAAGTCAGTTTCTTTTTGGATACATGTAGCTGCAAATGATGGACTGTAGCTTTAAATCACAGTTTATTGGGATAGCTTGTGACTTGACTTGGGACTGAGTGATTTGTGATGGACTTTCGAGTGAGGATCTCTGACAGACACGACTTTGTTGACTACAAAACTGCCAAAAATACAAAATGGTACTTCACAATGTTCTGTGAGTTTTAAGTAATGGAAGTACATGAAGGAAACCTGCACATTTATTTTATTTCATACTGATCATTTTGTTAACAGTTATCCTTGCAACGGATGCTCTACCGGATCAACCCAGCAGCTCAGCAAACCGGACCGCGGTTCCTGACCCAGACCTGGACAGCTGGGATGTGCCTTACGCAGGTGAATCTATTCACTATTATTTTATTCAGGATTTTTGTAAATTAGTGCACTTTTGGACATCCAGTCTGGGTATTGACCTATCGCCGTTTGCGAGTTAGCCACGCCCCTTAGACAACCATATGGAGTTTTTGCACATTAAGTTTTGTTTGTCTCAGATTTTGCACGTTCCGCGTCCAAGTATATCATGTAATTGGACAAAATTTCAAAAAAAATAATCCTAAACTTCCAAGCTCCTTCTAATTCCAGAGGTTTTGGAAGATTCTGCAAAATTGAGGAAGGCAGAGCCCAGCCGCTTTTTCTTTAGTTTGCAATTGATGCCCTTGAAAGTTATTGCTCATAATAATACATTTTAAAGGATTCTGGTAAGTTACTAGCAAATAAAAAATGATTAGGGTGTTAAGGTTAACATACATGTAAGGTGCCTAAACCTTGTTCACAGATATGAACTGATACTTTTGAAACTTAGGTCCTACGTAGATAATATCTCCAAATGTTTGCGCCATCAGTAAGAACAACACTAAGGCAAAACAGTTGTACATGTTCATGCTTAGCAGGGAATTACCATCTTACCACACTGTACGTGTGCAGAATAAGACCTCATTAACGTTCCTGCTATTTAGACAGTCAAAATTCACTTCCACTTCCCCTGCTATACTTTTATCAAAGGCTAGTCACCAGCAGTCAGATCATATGTCAAGCAAGCACTGTGACTAGTCAAACTGGGTCAACGGAAAAGCACGCAAGTTGTGGTCACAGCTGTTTTATCACTCACCCGGAGTCAAAGCATAGCTGTATCAAGTTCCTTAAGTAGTCCCAGCCACTCAATCCTGCTTTATGTAAGCTGGGAAATCTTAACTGTTGGAAACAGTCACTTGTTTGATTTTGACTCTGAAAGGACTACTTGGCACAGAATGTATGTTTGCATAGGAGCTTTGATTAGGTCCGTAAGCTACTAATTAAAACCCATACAAGTAGTGGAGTGCATCACAAGTCCATCACTAGTCCAGTCACAAGTAACAGGAGATGAACAGTAACAAAGGAATGCCTTTGTCATTGTTCATTTGATTAGCTTGTGACTTGACCTGAGACTGGATTTCATGTACTTGTGGTGGACTATTGGTAAATTATTGATAGACTCTGCTTGCAACCCAACCAAAAAGGTCCAATGTATCATCTTGGCTCTCGGACTCTTTTACCCTCACATCAACAGGTGCGGTGTGCCAAGATGACTGGACCCTCTATGACCCCACCCAGACCTGTTTCCGGTTCTTCTCCTCGGCGTTCGTCCAGCAGAGTGCCATGGACTACTGCAGCTCCACCCCGGGCAGAGGCAGTCTGGCTACGGTCTCCCTGCGCCAGCTCCGTTACCTGGCCATCACCGCCCTCGTGGGCCAGGCCGGCAAGACATGGTGGCTCGGGTACGAGATGCGGCGCGTGGATGATCTGCTGACAAACTCCAGCGATTGGAAGATGGTGGACCTGTCCGGCAGCGAAGTTGACCTGAGCTGGATCGGTTTGGAAGCCCCCATGTTGGACGAGGGGATGGAGGACAAGTTGTGCGTGGTCATGACACTGCAGAGCGCCCCTGCAAAGTTAGAGACGGATCCGTGGGAGCTCAGGCTCCAGTCCTGCACGGAACAATCAGGATTCCTGTGTTCAGAAGGTGAGTTGATTAAAAGAACAATTACCCTCCCAGCATGTTGCCCAGATCCTTTACACTCCATCAGGAGGTTTTGAAGGATTTGTTGCAGGAATGAGGAAGGTAAAGCCTAGGCACTGTTTCTTTACATGGGACTTGATGTCCTTTGGAATGTCCCTTGGAAGTCAGAATTCAGAGAATGTTCCATTAGGTTGCTAGATAGGGTTGCTTCAGTTCCTTTACAATCCATCAGCTAGATTGGGTTGCTTCAAGGCCCCTTTAACAAAATTATCATTCAGGACCTTTCCACTAATTAATATTCATGTATAAGTCCTAAAAAGAAGGTCCAGAGACTTCCAATTTGCTTTGTTGGGTTCGGTCAAAACTCATTCCATACTTTTTTTTTCCGTCTGTTTTCTCATACTTTGAGGTTTCTCTCGTACCTTTTCCTCCCAACAGATGCTGAACTGGTCTGCTTTGACCGCAAGGGCAACACGGTCAGGGAAGATGAGCACTACATCCCCCCAGGCCACGACGCCTGTACCCGCTGCCGCTGCGTGGAGGGCCGGCCGGGGATGTGCATGACCACCATGTGCGCTAAGCCACACTGTGAGCTGTACCGTCCCGATCCTGAGGAGTGCTGTCAGTACATCTGCACAGACGGTGGGGACGGAGACGACAAAGGCTGTAAGATTGTGTTTGATTTCCATGTAGTAATAATACCGGAGGCTCCGTGCGCCAACAAAAGAGGGCGCGTTTTTACCTCTTTTGAGAGCTCCGTGCACTGTACTGGTTTGCGCGCGAAGTACGCACGATTTCCTGAATGTGCAAATTATAGCCACCGCGTCTTCGCGTGAGCGTCAGGCGTCGTCGGCGTGCGAATATGTTTGAATTCAACTTGCGATGGTCTCCAAGATTTAGCCCCGCCTCCAATAACTTTGGATACATTCAAGATATGTGGTGGATGGATCACCCCAACTCTCCTTTTCTGGCCGTTGATGGGGTACTTGTGCACGGAGCCCATAGCGCACGTATCTACCAACAATTAGGTACTCAAGGCGCTGGAAATTATGTCTATTATTAAAGACAGCGAAAATGAAGTTAATGAGAAATATGAGACCCATTATGTAGTACCTTATGAGGGTTTACAAGGTGCTGCGGCGCATATTGCAGCCACTGCCAGAAACACCGCGGCAAACCCCTTCTCTTAGCGATAAGTGTTACTGGGTTCTTTAACGTGCATTACACAACACACGGGACCTGCGGCTTTACGTCCCATCCGAAGAACAAAGCAATAATGATACAGTGCCTTGCTCAAGAGCACAAGCACCATGTTCCCACGGTCAGGATTCAAACCCATGTACCACGGCACACGAGTCGAACACCGTAACCATTGGACCACAGCACCCCACAAGATCACGCTGAAGCCCTTCCAAGTAAAGAAACGTATGGTTTTCAAAGTAGTCGCTTTATGCACTATTCATTTCATGTACCTAGTTCAAATCGTCAGAATTATTTTCTGCATAACTCTGTCGTGTTAGTCTGAAATGGGTGTTTGATTATGTTTCTTTTCTTATCTGTTCCATTCCTTAGCGAACGTGTCGGACAACATGCGCTGGGTTTTGACCATGCTGACATCTTTTATTCTCCTGGGTATGATGCTGTTCATGCTGTACCGCATGAGGCAAAAGAGAATGGCCTACCTGCGATACCGTAAGTACAGCGCTCGAAAATGACATGAATTAGATGGAACCAAGCTAAAACCCTAAAGTGGTTCCTAACGTTTGGGTCAACCAGATTTATTATTATTATTATTATTATTATTATTATTAATCATTTCTGGTAATGAAACCAAGGATTCCTCAAAAGCGCCCTAGGCACTGTAGCTCGCAAGCCTGAAGAAACCTGTAGAGAGAAGACAATGAGAAGAAATACAGTTTTAGAGGTGGGAGGAAAAGCCCAGAAGAATATTCTGGGGAAAACCCACGGAATCAGGCAGGGACTGAAAACCCAATCCACATATTGGCCCAGGCGAGATTCAAACCAGTGGTGGAAGGCGGGGAAAGTACCGCTACGCCAACCTGACTCCCCCTGATTGCTCATAGTTTGGTTGTAGTAAGGGGATAATGGTGTGATGGAGCGGTCATTATTCGTTTGGTTTAAAAATGGTTAGGGCTTGGCTGCTGATAATGACCCAAGCTGAATGCAAGGGTTATATTATCGATGACCAGGCCCCTAACCTGTTAAAGACATCACCTTTATAACTACTCAAAAAGTGGGAAAACTGCCAACGATTTTGTTCTTCCATTTTACTTCATGTTCAGGCCACTTCAATGCTATGCATTGCATGCGTGGTACGTGTTCTCAGGATCTCCTTATATGGAGATCATGTCAGTGGTTCTCAAGCATCCAGTTGTAGCCGGCGCGTGCGGTGCGCATGGCGCGCTAAATAGATAAAACCAGGCTTTTGTGTGTTGTGATTACTGTATTCTGATTGTCTGAGAGATTTTATATATTTCTGTGTTTTGGGTTTGTGATTATAGGAGCTCAGCAGATGAGGGAAGGTACCATGACAGACTTTGAGCCGGGGACGGGCCCCCCTCCTCCCCCTAATCTTGATGACATCGATGGAGCAGTCTACAGGGAACCACCACCCCCATACTCGTAAGGCCTCAGAATAAACCTGTCCGGATAAAACCTGTCTTTTGGTGCTAGTTGTAAAGCCCATTCCCTTACGGTCCTCATTTTACAGTCATTATAATCATTGAATCCTGCCATTTTCTTCATCTCTTTGCAATTTAAAGATGCATTCCCCGTGTTTTTTTTTGTATTTCATCCCGAAAAATAGATTCCTTTTCTAAATTGCTATTTTTCTAGCAGTACAAAAAGTAATTCACCTTTGAATGAGGCATTGACCGAAAAATTGGCCCATACATGTACAAATTCAAATTGTTGGTTACAATAATTCCCGTTCTTGTGGGATAGGCTGGTTCCTGCCCCACAATGAGTATTGATAATGTGCGTACGGGGAGCCAGTCTGCTCGTAAAGCGGATCTGTTGGTGCCCAAAACAAAACCCTATTTCAGAGGTTTGCAGACGTCCAAAATAAAAGGAAGGAAAATAAGAGGTTTCTGTTGAAATAAGAAAATACATGTTAAAAACCTATTAATAGGAAAAAAAACTGGATTTGTTTAAGAGCACCGGGAACACAATTTTAATAAAAAACATCCTGTTAATTTTTTTCAACCAGGGATAAAGTCCAGTGGAATTTTGGGTTCACAGTTTTAAGTTGTATGCCATTAGCCAGTTTGATCACTTTGTTAGTGCTGTATATTGGCAAAATTGCATCATCCTAATTTTGCCTTAAGTATGGTATTGCGAATATGTTTTTGCTTTTATTGCTTTTATTTTCAAGAACACAGCAAAAGTGGTGTTTGTGCTTGAATTTACCATACCGTATGTAGTCATGTGTCTGAAGCTTCGTCAACAGCAACAGCAATCGAAACACTGATGACAACTCATGAGTCAAACTGTACTTTTCATACAGAAAATGATCTTATTTGTATATTTTTTCGATTCGTTAGGTTCGTTAAAGACGACCAACACATTCCGACCGAACAGCCCCCGCCGTATGTCTCCACGGTTACCTTATCCATGGACGTCAACCGTAACCGGGACAGACGAAATGTCTTTCAACAAGATAGCGATGCGGTGGCCCTACTGGATGGTTCTGTTAGCTCAGAGCCCAACACCCCTACACTTATTACAGGTGTGTCTAGGAACTAGACCCATTAACTTAACGCTGTTAGACAGGCTATTTCTCAAACCTTGAATTCAGCTTTGGATACACTGACTACCTGTGCCAGGTTTGAAACCTTAACCCTAACTCCCTAAGGTGATTTACTAGGAACCTTCCTCCTTGTGCAAATCCCAACACCATATGGTAAACTGTGCACGTAAACAGTTGGATTCTGTTTATTTCTGGTATGCCTAATCCCACGTAGAGCACAGTCAGTTTACTAGTGCAGTACTCATCCTGCCAGATCCCAACAAACCCCGGTGTTGGAGTTTGGCTGGTTGGGGATCGTTAGGGTTAAATGATTTTTTAAAAACTTGGCTTAAGCCGCCCTCGGGTCAACCTTGTGACAGCACAAAACAGTTGGCGACTGACTTTTTAGGATCAAGCTGCGCCTGTGCTGCGTCCATTGAGAACAAATTAGTCGCCGATTTTTTGCGACCTCGGTGCAACTGCTGTGATATTGAGATAGCAGCATCAGTCGGCGCTAAAAAAAATTCAGCAGTCGCAAGAGTAGAACAATTTCAACTTTTACGACGTGTTCCCGACAGGCAGGAATCAATCGCAGTCGTGTAGCCAATCAGCGTGTTGCAAAACATGGCTGAATGAACAATGTCAGTTTGGAGAATCCTGTTCAATACCTGAAATTAAGGCTGTAGCTGTGGCGTTTATAGTCTTTGATACACAGACAGCAATAATGTTGCATAGTTGTTATGCCATAGACTCCAATAGCCAGGAGCCTTCAGCCATAAATCCTAAACCTGAAACTTAACCCTGGACAATTTTCTGCCCTCTCTGTTTTTTTTGAGTGAGAGAGCTCTCTCCAAAAAAATAATAATAACATGTATGCCTTTTCTGTGTTTTTTTTCTGAAGGTGTTCCACCTCTGCTGCCCAGCCCCCCTGCATACCCAAGCAGCACTGAAAACAGCACCGCGTCATCCCCGCAGACAGATCAGAGCACCCCGGGGGGAGAAAGCGTGACTGCCGCAACACCCGCACAACCGACCATTCTGACCTCGATCAACACAACGGTTTGAACGTGTGTGTGTGTGTGAAAGGTTGGTGGTCCCTGTCAAATTAACCAATCCCCCTACTAGCCATTTCTCTAACATTTACGTGTAGAAATTAAAGATATATTCAAGTTTGCACACTGTTAAGGGTTAGCTCACCTGGGTCGACTCGGGTTATCCCTGTGCCGTTCGATTAGCTCTGACGTCATTCTCAGGGCTCACCTAGGCCAGCCACCACAGACCCTGCTCTTGGAGCAGAGTCAGTGGTGGAGATACGTCACACGCATGCGCTGTTCATTCTATTTGAAGTCTAAACATTATTGACCTATCGCCGTTTGCGAGTTAGCCACTCCCCTTAGACAACCCTATGGAGTTTTTGCACACTATGTTTTGTTTGTCTCAGATTTTGCACGTTCCACGTCCATTTGTATATTATGCAATTGGACAATATTTCACAAGCTGCGTTGACGCGATTCTTTCTAACGCGATTCTACCGCGATAGGTCAATTAGTTATTTATCTCATTTCGACTTTGGAGGCTATAATTCCAGCCCGACATTGTTACAGTTAACGATTGACGGAAAAGCAGTAAATCCTACAGTAAGACTCCGACCGAAAAGGACATTTTGTCAATTTCTACGGCTGCAGCTACGGACGTCGCGTGAGGATCACGATGGCCCGCGTTTGAGCGTTCAATTAGCCTGGCTGTCGTGGCTACCCCATCAACCTTTACCCGAGTCAACCCAGTTGAGCTAATCAAACGCACCCTAAAATTCATTGTTACAGAGGACGTTTTTCTTATCAGAGAACCACTTGAAAGTAATGCAGAGCTTCAATTTTATATTAAAAAAAAATTGATGGCCTAATGTTTCTTTGATTTATATATTTCAGTAAGAAGTTAGCAGCAGGTTTATTCACTTTCAAGTTCAAATTTTGGTTTATATCTTTTAGAATACAGGAATAGTATTGTTTTATATTAGACTAGCGCCAATTTAAGGTAAAATCAAGATGTGAATTTGAAATGTGAATTTAAAATGCTATAAAGATGAATATTGAACAAACAAGCTGAACAATTGGCTTGGTCAACTGGAGCATTCGATGTTATTATGGTGACCAGTGAGAAACCACTAGACCAACAGTGTAGTGTGGTCATGGTATGGACTGGGGTATGTCATGAGGTATGTTTTCATATGTGATCTGATTCACCGTGCCCTCTGGAGACATGCACACAATAGGGAACAAAAGATTGTATACGTCTCCACAGGGCAATTGTTATAGATGAATACGTATACACAAGGTTTTCACGAAAAAGATATACGGATTTTACTCAAAAACTAGGAATTTCCAAGGTATGTTGATTCGTCGCAAATGGTAGAGTTTTAGAAAAGGGATATTAAGTCCGAATTTCAGCCAAGGAAATTAATTCTGGTTAAAATAAAAGCATTTTGAAACTGTACTTTCAAACTCAAAAGTTTAGTACACAAGAACAAAGAAATGTCTCCACAAGGATACAAATTTCAGTATGGGTGAATGTATTTGTGTTTCATGTAAGTAATCATCAGCACATTGGACAAGTGTCGAGTGACAATGTAGGTGATCTAATTTACAGAACACTCTCACCTCCAGTTTTGTTCCATTATTGCGTTTTGAGACCTCTTGGGGTCCTATCATGTTTATTGCAGCATTGCATACATTGTGGTATTGGTTGTTATTATTGTGCGCATGAACTTCATCATATTTCACTAAGATAACAATTTGCATAATTTGTAAAAAAAATAATCTTAATGTAGTCATTAGCAATAAAAGCTAGTCTTGGCTCAAAGAGTGATCACAATAATCAAGAGAAATCAATCATCAATACTCTTTTTTGTGTGTGTAAAATAACTGGTCTTGAAATTGTTATATTTCAAATGACGATTGTGTACATAATTGATCTGGTTGTTGAATGGGTAAAGTCAAGTGTTTTCTGCCGATATCTATATTTTGTACTTACCATAGAAAATATTGTATATTTGTGACTGTCTATAAGTCCACTTTGTAGCACCGCATAGGGCAAGCCTGTTTCCACTGCTTTTTGAGAAAATGTCGGAGTGAAGATGTGTTGACATACAATAACCTGTACATTTTTAACAGGAAAAAAATATTTGCATACTCACCAGTGATCAAAACAGACCATGTTTTTTAACTAGCATGTTTACCGTCTCCATTTAAACAATTTTTTATTCCCATATTGTGATGCTGAGTTGCGATATTCAAGGTTTTCAATACTTTCTACACTGAGACATTTACTTCAAGTGAAAGAGTTGCAAGTTTTGCCAACACCAAGTTTTTTTTATTCACTTGCGGGCAGCTTTGGAAAACACAGCTGTAGTGCACTCCCAACTTCTTGGCAATTATATGAAAACAAAATGTTTGGAGTTGCCCCTTCTGAAAAAAAAGAAGGGTTGTGAGAGAATATCCCTAACCCCTAAGGGTTCCTCAGGACTACCCTGCCAAATCCATCAGAGTCCAACTGTTACTTCCTGCTGAACCCAACAGGCTCCAACGGGTTTATGAATGATATAGTTGGATCTTGTTGGATTCAGCAAGGTTAGGGATAGCTATAAGTGCAGGCGTGCAACTTTTCCTTGGATCAGCTATTTCCTCATTTTTCACTTCACACATATGCCATTAAAAATTGACTGCATAAAGTCTTGTAAAGCTTGGAATTTTTTCTCATTTGTAGTTACTTCCTTGTAGCATTCCTGTGAGTGACACATGGTTGATAGAAGACTTATCCACATGTTGAGTTCAATTTTGCCCCTGTACAGTGTATATACATGTACACATATGTGAAGTGCTACCCAACATATGGTGTTTGTATTTTTGCCGCTTGTACATCTGTTAACATTTTTAGTATGTGTGGGGCGGTTTAGTGTGGGGATGGATGGGAAGGCACCATTTGTTTTTAAGCAGTTAACTCACAATGCCATATTTGTTTGTCCTAAGTTGTTGGTATCAATTTGTAGTAATGCAAGGCAGTAATTCATAATACGTGTGGTTCTTTGTCTTCAAGACATCTGTGCACGTCTTTTTGTGAGGCGAAACAAATCAAACAGGACAGATATTTTCCTCCCGGCCTCGCGAGGCAGAAAACGCAGCAAAAATTGACCACACACAGATGAGTTACGTGCCGAGCAAACGGCCACGAATGACTTTTTGCTCAGCACGTAGCTCATCGTGTGCCGTGGGCTTAACAGGAAGATCAATGAAAAAAATCCCTGTTCACGATAGACCCGAGACCTAATGACATAATGGCTTTGTTTACATATGCGCTTTGCTATGGGAGCAAAGTCAGGACGCCAGACGAAGCAGGGACCCTGTACCACATAGGAAAGCGCGCGTATAAACAAAGCATGACGTCATTAGGTCTCAGGCCTATTGATTTGAAAAGCTTGTTTGTTAACTTGAGAATGGATGACATGTGATTAACTTTTGATGAGTTACAATTCTCACAGCTGCCATCTCTTCAACATCCAATCAATTTTCTACTATGTTGAAATGGAGATCACGAATACGTTCCAGTAGATTGATCAACTCAATTTTCTTGGGTACTTTAATAGTAATTTAGTAATGATTTTTTTGTTCTGCATATTTAAATATATATTTACGGTGTAATAGGAAGTAGTTCAAACTATTCAGCTGTACAGTGCTTCTTGCAAATGTTCTATTTTATTTTTGTTGTTAGTTCATTAGACATATTATTGTACATAAATTAATTAATATTAGGAATAATCATAACGGAAAATTTGTTCGTCTCATATTTTCCTGCCGGTTGCAACATTTTTATTTGCCATAATATACTCATCTTTGTTTTCGAGAAAAAAACAACAAGTGTGCGTCATTCACAGTGTTAAAATTTGGAAACTGCATGCACCACTGTCGCATAATAAAACTTGTTTTAAAATTCCATGATCACAAAAACTGGACTTGTACTCGAAAAGGAAGACTGTAAACTGTAGTAACAGTTGTTAACTTTTGATTGTATTTTTCTTAATTCAAGCATGGTGTGAGCTGGATAAAAAAAATTTCAAATACTTGAAAATGTAGGCACATGTAAATCAAACAAAAATGAATCATTGCAAATCAGTATTAAACATGTTATAGTTTGAAAATAAACTGATTCATTCAATTAATGTGATTTATACCAAATTGGTCACAATCAAATGTAGATATTTTCTGTATTTTATTAATACCGTATGGAAGTCTTTAATAAACCATTAGCTTAAAAAAATAATGTCATATTATATTGTCTTGAAGGTATTCCTGTGCAGATAATTGACCTATCGCCGTTTGCGAGTTAGCCACGCCCCTTAGACAACCCTATGGAGTTTTTGTACACTAAGTTTTGTTTGTCTCAGAGTTTGCGCGTCCCGCGTCCAGTTGTATATCATGTAACTGGACAATATTTCACAAGCTGCATTGACGCGATTCTAATGCGATTCTGCCGCGATACATGTAGGTCAATTATGTCCTCAAACAAGTTACTGCTTAAAGCCCCACACAGTGCCGTTATGGCATTCCGATGGTGTCACGACCATCAAAATTGGACTCGACAGCTTCTGCTCTGAACAGGGAGCTTGTGTTTTTATAGGGACTTTGACCTCAATTTGCATGTTGACCCCCAAGCGAGCATGGTAAACATTGGTGAAGCGATTTTGCCACATTTTTCATCATCAACATTGTTTTGCATAATACATTTGGAGTATCTTCATAGAGATAATGTAATTTTTAAAGTCTATTTAAAGTCTCAAAGAAACAAATTTGACAAAAAAGCAAAACAAAACAAATAATCTTTTTTTCACATGCCAACCGTCACTTCAAAGTACAGTGAAATCACAGCACCGGACCTGCATTAACTGTATACCTCTCCATTGACCCTTGCATAGTGTGTGCTTCTGCTCACTCCATAAGCATTTTACAAAAAAATGTGACACACACACACACACCCAGACTTGTTTCACATACCTAGTGTGGACTTTCCTTTCTTTTCGTGTAGTTAAGGAACACCAGTGGAAAAACTCATTTATCTCAAACTGTGAAAACTCTTACAACCCAATTTTTTTTCAATGATTCCCTTTAGTGTTTCTCTTCATTCTGCTACAGATAAACCTAACCCAAAAATGCCTCTAAACCTGTTTTCCAGAAATGGGGAAACACTGTGTGGACGTGGGCAAGTCCACACTTCGTCGCTGCTACCTACATTATGTGGACGTCTTTTGTTCGGAAGTCCACACTGCGTATGTAAGACAAGCTCAGACAGACAGACATCAGACAGACAGACATCAGACAGACAGCGTATATATTCAACTGCAGGACGTCTCATTCAAATGTGAATACAAGTAACGTATACATTGCCAGGAAACTGACAATTAAACGGAAGATACATTTGCAAACATCAAAAAATGAAATGATCAAATTATCAAGAAATACCCCAACTGGATTTTTAGGGAATGACAGTCTAAAGCATCCTGTAAAGTTGTGGCTCCTGGTGTGCCGACATTTTCGATGCGATGGAGAAAATTGTCTTTTTTTCAAAAAGTGTACTTGAATTTTCACATTTAGTTACTCCGCATTTTCTTCACAATTGATTACACACCTGTGAAGGAGTACAAGCCTGCTAGACTGATTGTCTAACCATACAATCCCCAAAGTCTATATACATGTATTGCTCCATTTCATCTTGAGTGGGGTCAGGGAACCAGACTACAAGAATATGATTGGTTTTCCTGGTTTTTCAAGCATATACAAGCCCAAAACGTGAAACAAGTCAGTTTAACAATATTTGCTATAACATACTAATCCTCCAAATCCATTTATTTCTGAAAATTGCGGCAATAGCAAATGTTGCACATTCCCTTAAAAAAAAAAAAAAAAAAAAAGTTTCTGTGCACTGCGGAAAGAAGCTTGTAATGACCAGGGAAGAAAATAACAGCTAACAAACTATTTTGCGTACAATCCTTTTCACTCCACATCAACAAAGATCCTAATTCCCTCTTTTAAAAATATATTGATCAAGCGTTCAAGGGGGGGGGGGGGGCTGTGAAACAATTCTGTCTGCATGCAGCCTTCATGGTGATTTGCACACAATGTATTTAATGACAAGTACATAAAAGATTATGTATCACATCATGATGCTTCATACAGCAATCGTTTTATTATAACACATGAGGTCAGCTTGTTATATTAGTTCATCAGATTAAACTCTGAGACATTAGATTACAATCAATGCTAATAGTCCAATGATATTTACAATCACAATTGCTCTTTGCATTGGAAGCATGTTGAACACTTCTGGCTCTTCATCGGGTCTTTCTAAAATATTACAATTTTTTGTTAGTTTATTATTAATTATGAATAAAATCAGAAACTGGCAAGCCACCTTTAATTTTTCTAATTTTAACACTACAATATGAGCAATTGTATTACTCTGTCATATTCTTGATTTGGATAACACATATGAAAAATGTAAGAAGTATTATTTGTGCAAATTTAAAAAAAAACATGGTTAAGAGTACAGTGAGTTTGTTATAACAATTCACTCTTGTACAGCTAACATTCGTACATTTTCTCTTAGTCTCCTCCAATTATTGAATTAGCCTATGAATAAGTAAAGTTTATCATTTGGTTCGCTGAGAAGTAATGGAACGGAAAGAATCTTATTTAGTTTCTCAGAAAGTTATAGTGTATACATATCAATATTTTACACTCTTCTAAGCTATGCGAATGTAGATCAAACCTAACATAAGTACAAATACATTTAAACGTTATTCATAAATACCTGAGACAATTTACGCATTCCTGCTGGTTTTAAACACAATTCCTGCGCTCTGTGCCACATTGCGCATTTCGTGCCGCCCGCGCGCCAATCTCAATATAAGGATATTTTTTAGCACTTCTAGTACTCGCGCGAGGCACATTCAACAGACATGGCCAAAGGGGCGTTTCACAAAACGTGAAGTAAACTAACAAAATCGTTGGAAATTGGTGCATCTTTACTTATTTTGGCTTTTTGAGCTTGGCCGGTTTTAAACAAGTGCGTGAAATGTATTTGCGTCCAGGCTCCTAGCCGGTTTTAAATGTTCTTGTTTAAAACCAGCCAAGCACATATTTATTCCTTCATTATGAGTCTTAAATACAGGAAGGATGGAAGCTACTAATGAAAACAAAAATGCACAAGCGTCTTTTGATGTCTTCAAGAACAGGTTAAGGACTATAACTGAAAGATACACGAACATGAAAAAAAAAATACATGCATACAAACACTTTGATCTCTCCACAGATTTATTAATCAAAAAGATCACTATCATTTCTGAAAGACGAACTTTTAATATCAGTGAAAGCAAGTATATTTATAAGCTAATCACGTTTAATTGTTTTCAATGGTAGCACTCACACACAATTCATGAAAAGTTGATATTTAAATAAAGAAATCGTCCGTAAATATACATTTTCAGTGAAACAAAGCTCTGCGCAATCTAAAATCTAGCCTCAATGTGTCATTAAATCAAAAACATCTCAATAATGCATGCTATAGCACTGTATTAAAATAAGTATCAAAAACATGAAACTACACATAAAAACGGAATCAGAGCATTGCAAAGTCATGAAAGTTTTTAAAATTCAGTTTGAGCTGAGCTGTCAAATAAAATTTCCAAAAATGTTACAAAACGTTAAAAACAATTCCAATGATGTCAGTTTAACAATTATTACATCATTACATTTCCCGATGAAATGACCTGAGAATCAAAACGTGTAATAAAATACAAGTACATGTAAATGAGACTGTACATTTTGTACATGAGACCAACTGGTTCTTTTCAGAACCACACAACTCAACAATGAGATATTATTCACATGGTGGTGCCACAAAACCTCCCTTTCATCAAAATACATGTAAATAACACCAGGTTTTATGCGAGACGCAGTTTTGATTCACATGGGAGTCGGGTTGGTGCTGTGGTTCTTTCCTTGCCTTCCACCGCTGTGACCCGGGTTCGATTCCTTTGAGTGCGTTCGATTACTTCCCCCAGCTTACTTGCGCCTGGCTCCACGCGTAATGCCAGACATGCGCAGTGGAGCTAAATAAACGAATGGTTTCGGGTAATGTTTCGTGCAAGAGCTGGAAAGTTGAACTTTGACATGACACTGAGGCTGCACTATCAACTGTCTAGAGCTAGGTCTATAGGTCCGCGCTCATTGAAAATACACGGGGACGCGCTGACAATAGACGTAGCCGTAGCTCTGGAAGCCTGTTTCGGACACGGCCTGAGGCGCCCGCCGGACGTCACGTTGGCAGCCATGTTTATTGCATGGCCTTATGGGATACTTACCCAAGTAACTGGCTCGGTGAGTCGGTTACTTGGGCCAGGCTCAAGTAAGCGCAAGAAGTCACATGAGAGGCACCAGTAAGCGCATGGGAAGTAATCGAACACACTCCAAGTGGATTTGGGTTTTCAGTCTCTGCCTGATTCCATGGGTTTTCCAAAGAACATTCTTCTGGGGTTTTCCTCCAACCTCTAAACCTGCAATTTCTTCTCACTGTCTTCTCTTAAGCTACATGCCTAGGGTGCTTTTGAGGAATGCTTGGTTGCATAACCAGAAATAATTAATAATAATTATATAATTAACACCACATCACCTTTCAATAAAAAAAAATGTAATCATATATTAATACATGGAAAAGTGGCTTTCAGCAGATGGATGATGCCTGCCTACCACTTCAGGGTACCAGGGATGTACTTGTCAATGAGAGCCTGGTAATACGGCCGAAGCGCGTCCAGGTCGGGCAACCCGTCACTCTTGGAATACAGGTCAAATTGGCTACGGGGATGGGCAAATGTAAAGAAAAACTGAAAATTGAAGGGAGACTTTCTCACAAACATATTTTCCAATACGTACAGTAATGGAGTTACATTTTGCTACTTACGTCAGGGTGTCATTTGAGTACTCTTTCAATGCAAGAAATAAACGAGCAAGCTGTGTAAAATGTGTTAGCATGACGACTCAAAACGGTCTGTTGAAAACGAGTTAATTTTCACTGGGCAATGTAATATATTTTCTCCAATTGTGCATTCTGAGCTAAGAGTCTTGTAAAACAAAGATGAAATTGATTTCCTTTATCCTTCAATCTTCCAAACTCCATCAGGAGCTTTGGTGGATTTTGCAGGATTAGGGAAAGCCCAGCACTTTTTAGTTTGTATGGTAATTACACACTGAGTATACAGTGTTTAAACGTCGGTGAAGGGCATAAAACCTAATTTGATTTATGTCACCCCGGCGCAAAAATTCCATCTTATAATACAGATCCTTGTCATTTGATTGGTGGAACTCACATCACGTGACATTCGTTATTACTCCCATTCACGCCGGGGATCAGCGTGGCGCGTAGCGTGTATTGTTCCAAAGAGCCAGCGCTACAGAGTTGGGTTCAAACATTTTTGCGAAGGGGTGGTTTGGAAGAGAGAAGTACATTTTCCACCAATTTTGTATTGAAATAAAAGATCAAGTATATCAAATGACAAGGATCCATATGTCAGTTATATACAACAAATATTGAGTGGCTTCAAATTGTTTCGCCTCATGAACTTGAAAAGTCCAGATTTTACCTTGCGATAATATTCCTCCCATTTCACTCTGAGCCACTCAATATTTGTATACTACAGAGTGATCAACTCACTTGAATTCTCGGACCCATTTGAGCATCTCCATATCCTTGTTGTTGCATAGATGCATGTAGTCACCGCCAGTGTGCCACGGGTAGAAAGAGTGGTAGCGGATCATGTACAGCCCCTGTGAAAAAAATAATAATAAGGGAATAAATGTGTGCATGGGAGGTGTTAAACACTATGTTTAGACTGGTTGGAGTTTGGAATGCTGATAATTACCAGAGTCCAAAAGTCAAAACGCATCAAAAATTAACAATTTCAAACGATTTGGTTCAACAAATTTCACACTCTGTTTTTCAAAACACCCCTCTTGCTATATAATGGAGTGTCCAGCTCGCGAGTAAGACGTAAACAACTCCTTTTATGGAGGTTTGCGTGCGCGTTGTGCGTACTGTGCAATGACGCGCAGATGTGGTGAGTGCGTTGTGAATTTAGGACTATGAAATACTGGTAGTATTGCGTATGCCTAGGTGAGGATTGTGAACGTTCAACCAATAAAATGGTACAGCGCACTGGATTTCATAGGAGTACAAATTTCATGTGACACTGGAAAAGGTTTAAGACCAGCCAGCCAGCCATGTCTTGATCATCCGTTTAAGACCGGCCACATGATGGGCTCTCGACCAATGGGAATGGGTAAACAGTCTTAGGTATTTATGAATGTGCTGTTTGTATAGTGCTTTTATACCAAAGGTCTCAAAGCGCCTCACAATAATTACCCCTGTTCATCAGGCGTAAAATACAGCAATACGCACACTAGGAAAAGCCTCGATCAAACAATTTTTTGTAGCAGCTCGAGATCAGCACAATTTGGTCTCTACCCTCACAAATGCTTCTGGGTGGAGAGAGGCAATTGTAGTAAAGTATCTTGCCCAAGAACACAATTAACACCATGTTCCCCGTCAGCATTCGAACCCATGGCATCATGGCACATGAGTCTAACACCGTAACCATTTGACCACAGTGCTCCATGATCAAAACAATTTTTTTTTTAAAACAGATGATTGTGACCCAACCCAAAAACATGAGTTGGAATTAGCCAAACATCAATTGTAGACTGCAATCCAATGTCACACCACACTTAACCATTGGATTTAGTTCCATTGAAACATTAAGGAGTTACTAATTGCTATAGACAAACTGTTGCAGTCAATAAAAAATCCCTGGTAAGTACAGTCAATGGGAAATTAGTACATTTTTTTTTTAGTACAAGTTCGGCTCAGGTCATTACCAGCTTCCAGACTCCAACTGGTCTTAAACAAAGCGTTTAAAACCAGCCAAGCACACATTATTCCATTATTTAAACAATTCAGTTATTTACATGTACAACGCAAATGGGTTAAGCATATTTACCTCCTCTGGAAGCTTGCAGTCGTTCTCAATTAGCACCCTGTAAAAGTACTCTGTGAAAGATATTAAGGATATGGTGTTTTTGGTGAAAGACATACAACAAAGGTTAGAAGAAATCACGGTGGAAGAGAAAAGTGCAGACTGTAGGTAGGGAAACCCTAAAAGAGCCATTTTCTTAATTACTCTGTAACAAACGATATGTGAGGATGAAAATTGTATGTGACCAACACGCCAGCCAATCAGAGTTGACTTTAGAAATTGTGACATCATTTCTATCAGAAATGTGGACTAAGCTGTTGACTGGTCAATTTGGCTGCCATTACGGGTTTTTCTAATACAAGGGGATACCGAAGACCCGATAGAAGGCACCCGCTGAATGGTCAGAATCTTGTGGTCAAGACTCTGTCTCACTTACTTGCTAACTTACTTATGGCGGCCTCAACCAAGCAAAGACGCAGTCTTGCTTGGCATAATAAGGGGATATTTCATAGACTAAGTAAAGGGGGAGGGGTCTTAAATTGACAGCCAGTCATCAAGATACGTGTAGATTTTAATGCAATTTGGTAAGCATGTAAAGACAACCATGCTTGGTGTTTCTATTAAGTTTTGATCCAAAAGAGCAAAGGATTTTGTAATTCTATGATGTTACTGAATTCACACTATGGTCTGTGGAAAGAAATACGTGTGGAGAAATATGTTTTATCACAAAAATGTTCTGCTTCTTGGCTCTTTTAGGATTAAAAAAAACCACCTACTTCTACAGAGTGCAGAAGATTTAAGAGACACAGCATTCCTTTTCAAACTATCCAAATTAAATTAGAAAAAAAAGGTTTGACAATAGTTCCACTTGGGCCATTTCTGAAACCATGGCTTCGAAACAGATTGACTAAAAATGCTCATGTTCATGGCTCCAGATTTTAGAGCTCTTGCAAGCTGGAGTACAAAGACTGAGATGTAGCCTCAGTCTCTGATTCCAAACAGTGTGGAGATTATATAGTCATAAAGCCACAGCTTGGAGCTGCAGCCAAAATTTCAGAAATGGCTGTGTTATTGTCAGCAGAAAAATGGTCTGGCTAAAGGACTCCAATGTGTCCAATAGAATACGTTCCCCCAAAACTTTAGTGAATCCATCACATCTAGTTATGCTGTTAATTGCTCCTCTGAACCGCTACAAATTTGACAGAACTTTGTTACGTTTAAAGTAGAACAGATCAAAGATGTATTAGCTTTGAGATTATGGTGGGAAAACGAACATTGGTTTTTTTTGGTGGCCCACAGTGTTTCCAAACAGCAACTGATTTCCGAGCTAACTCGGACGAGATCAAGCAATAACTATGGTTAACCATAGTTTGACTATCTGTTTGTGAACTCGCGCCAGTCAACCAGAGTGTGACTAGTCCAGTTGACTTTTAAGGACTAGCATACTATTGTTGATAAAATAGAGGACATTTTCGGGTAACACCATGTGGAAAGAAATCTCTTCTTGGAGGAAGTGTGGTTCTGAAAAGAACCGGTTGGTTGAGTGTATAACTCGACGTTTCGGACAGTGTGCTCTGTGAGTCCTCAGGAGGGTGAGTGATGAGATGTGGATGATGCTGGAGGTTTTATGGCTGTGCGTGTGCAGTGGGGTGTGACTGGATGCTTGTGTGTCGGATGTAGGATGCCTCCAGCATGGATGCCTCTATAAAACCTCCAGCATCATCCACATCTCATCACTCACCCTCCTGAGGACGGACAAAGCACACTGTCCCAAACGTCGAGTTCTACACTCAACCAACCGGTTCTTTTTTCAGAACCACACTTCCTCCAAGAAGAGATTTCTTTCCACATGGCGTTACCCGAAAATTTCCTCTATTTTATCTCATCCGCCATGCAAAGCTTCAAGTCATATATACTTTTGTTGATCACACCACTGGTTACTGGTTACGATAGCCACGTCATGCAAGTGAATCATTACGCACTGCAAGGAGCCAGGACCACGAAGTATCAAGAAAACATAAATTGACCATTAATTAGGCTGGAGATGTTTGCATATAGGCATAATATATGTCACAAGTCAACTACTAGTCGACAAATGGTCCTGTTTGAATTTGCTCTTGTTGCTTCTGAGCCGATCCGTGCAGCCACAATTTCAAGCTGATACATCTTGATCAAAGGGAATGTACGACATTTGCTTTTGCTGCAATTTTCAGAAATAAATGGATTTGGAGGATTTGTATGTTACAGCAACAATTGTGAAATGACTAATGCTTCACGTTTTGGGTTCAGAGATGCTGGAAAATCCAAGAAAACCAACCATGTTCTTGTAGTCTGGTTCCCTGACCACTTAAGATGAAACAGAGCAATTTATAGACTTTGGGGAACTGTAAGGACAGAGAATCAATCTAGCAGGCTTGAACCATTTCACAGGTGTGTGAACAATTGCAAAGAAAATGCAGAATAACTAAATATGAAAAATTTGGAGCAGTTTTTGAGAGGAAAAAAAGTTTTCTCCAACGCTGGTCGGCCGACCAGCGTTGGAAAAACACAAGTTTTCTTGAAAATGTCAGCACACCAGGAGCCATGATTTTACAGGATGCTTTGGACTGTCATTCCCTAACAATCCAGTAAGATATTTCGTGATAATTTGATCATTTCGTTTTTTAATATTTGCAAATGTTGTATCTTCCCTTTAAAGCTACAAATGAAAAAGCGAACTACCATCATGACCCCATGACATCATCACATTGGCCAAGCCACAGTGTTCTTCATAAATGCCACACTTCGAGCTGAGGAAATTAAAAAAAGGTTATTTTCTGACCCAAGACTAGGCCATATTTTAACTCCCCTTGCGCTGAGGAAATAATACTAAAAAAGGTCATTAGTGAATCACTACTGTATAAAATGTTTCACTATAATTCCCTTTTCAACATGCTCAACTTTCCCAAGTAGTGTATGTAATGCCTGAACTTGCGACATACCATATGATTAACTACTCCAATTTCGATATCATGCATTCTCAACCTAGCTCTCTAAAAACTGACTGCCGTAATTGGAGAGAATTGGAGTAACAAGTACTTTTGTCATGTTTGTTGAGTTGATACATCGCCTTGCCTTTTCCTCAGTGTTTGCTATTTCAAGTCAATATATATATCTGCTTCCCATACTCAAAGATAATAATAATTGTAAAGCGCTTTGATACCCTGTTGCGGCATGTAGTTTAACTCCCAATTGGGGTATCTCCATTTGGGTACCACTCCCAACTCCTGATAGAGACTAGAGAGCACATTCGCTGTATGCGCACGTGCCGACATGGAGGCGCAGCTGCCATACTTTAGGTGGAACACTCCACTTTTGAATTTCTGAATATAGTGCACTTGGGTGCTTGTGTACGTACGTACTATGACATACGTACTATGACGTACGTACTATGACGTACGTACACCTTGCACGCGGAAACTGCCGAGTGCGCTTTGCCAAGTTCATTTACTTAGACTGAGCTATGGCATTTCCAAGCCGTTGCTAAGATTGGCAGGGTTTATGACCAATCCCGATCGTTCCATTGTTCAACCTAAAGAATGGCGGCAGCGGATCCATGTCGGCACATCTGCGGGTGGGCGTAGAATAGACCACTCTCATGTTGCGACCTTCTTGATTTTTCCCCATTCAAATCAACGTAACCAAAAGCGAGGCTGGAAGGAAAAATAGTCTGGTTCCCTTTTGCACAAAAAACAGTATCATTGAGTACTGTTATTGGATACAGGGAACATGACTGAAATGGTGGTAGCATGATACGGGTCTATAGCGAGTGTGCTCTCAATTTTTTTTTTTAAATATAACTCTATGAACCTCACATTGGGATATAACTCCACACTGAAGTACTACTCCTATTTGCAGTACAACTCCTCTGGGATGCATCTAAAGTACAACTCCTCAAACCCCCCTCCAAAAAAAAAAAAAAACGCTACACCCGCTCTCTTACAATCTTGTGAAACTGAAGTCATAATTGTCGGAGAAGGTAACCGAGGCAATTCAAATTCAATTCAAGTTCATGTGACAATGCAAGCCAAATATTCCATACCTCTGGTTCCTTTTCTTCCCACACCCGGCCCACTCCCTACCACAGCCCCGCCCATCCTTCACACCCACTCAACATGTCACTTACTTGTAGGCTGGGTTATTCAAATCAGGGTTGTCGACAAAGCTGGTTTTCCTGTAGACGATGGAGTCAGCAACGGCGCAGCCAACAACAAATGTATCGCCAACAACAGACCACTATTAACGGATAGGGAACATGACATTCAAATCACTATTTGTAGCAAGTAATTAGCAAGTCAAAGCAGGTTGCAAGAATGGAGTGTTTTGCTGTTCAAGCACGAATAGACGTCAAGAATGGTAGATCTTGCTGTATGGAGGACACCCCCCCCCCTTCCCCCTCCTAGACCTGCTACTGTTCTGTCACCGTTGCGGGACGTACTGCCCAGAGATGCAAAAGTAATGTTTACCTGTGGTTCACCCCAAGCTGCCATGACCTTTCCCAGGTCATGAATAAGTCCCGTCAGAATCATCCACTCTGTTTGAAAAGAGGGGAAATGAAAACAATTTGAGACCATTAAATGAAGAGTTTATTTCCAAACTAACAGGGCTGCCAATTTTGAGGGGGAGAATTTGGCGATGGAGCGTGATCAGAACTAATGCGCGTGCGAAGCGCGAAGCCCCAACGGCATGGGATTCGGGGCCCGCTTAAGGGCCCCCGAAAAATATTGGATTCTAGATGCTCTGTGGTGCGACCTGAGGCAATTTCTGACCACTTTAAACATTATTTTTATGCAAAAGATCATCATTTAATAAACATAATTTTCATGTTTGGAGTCAATTATTTATTTATTCTTTTTAGCATGAGAAATCCTGTGTGGGCGTGAGAGTAACCTGAAATGCGTGAGTCTCACGCTCAATGCGTGAGAGTTGGCTGGCCTTCAATATGTACATCCATTTGAAAGAAATTGGAAAATGTACACAGTGGAAATCTCAAGTGGACCCAAAATTCAGCTTAATTTGAAGTCTAACGCTAATCATTTATTGACTTCATTGCGACTTTAGAGGTTAGAATTTTAGCTCAACTTTTTTGGGTCTTGCGATTGACTGCAGAAAAAAGTAAATCTCAAACTAAGATCCAGTCCGAAACGGGCATTTTGTCAGTGGCTACAGCTGCAGCTATAGACGTCATATGAGGATCGTGATGGCCCATGGTTGAGCGTTTGATTAGCCCGGCTGTCGTGGCTAACCCGTCTGCCTTTACCTGAGTCGATCCGGGTGAGCTACTGGAATGCACCCTACAGAAAGCGTTTAACCCAATACATAGGCTCTGATCTCCAGAAGATTTACTAGTGATCTTTAAAGCTAACGGATCTTTAAAGCTAACGGTAGAACGGGGAACAAAACTGAAGTCCATAGGTGCTTTAGAGTGCTTCTCGTTTTCACTTAATTCACTTTAATAGGCCTTTAGGAAAGTCTGTTAGTGATGTCATTTCAAACTGTACATGTTTCTGTGTATTAGTTGTGCAATATTATAATCGTTGCTTTACAATCATGTAGTAATCCCACATACTTTCATTTTATTTCATTGTGTTGTATAAGCCTTTTCGGGGTTCCAACTGCGCGCATTCGTAACCTGTGACAACGCACATTATTTGTCTCAAATGCCTTTTGACAGTACCCACAATGCACAAACAGCCTTTTTGTAAAGTCAGTGGCGCGATGATGTCAAAGGCCATTTGAGACAAACAATGCGCGTTGTCACAGGTTATGAATGCGCAGTTGGAACTCCGAAAAGGCTTATTGTATTTGTCATGTATTGTATTTGTACATATGTGTAGTCATTTGTAGTGTATGCAGGGCCCCAATGGAAACCACTTTTAAACTGTTTGAACATACCCTGGGTAAAAAAATGTAATAAATAAATAAATAAATAAATAATGAACGTATCTGTTAAGCAAGCAGAACCTCTGAATAAACGTACATGAAAAAGCTCATGTACTAACTCAAACTAATGAATAATTTGTTTAATCTCTAACCTTTGTCAGGATGTCGTTCACGGATTCTCTCGGCTGTCTGGAAGGCATGGTAAATGTTAGGCACACTGGTCTGTGGAAAAACAGATGCAACACAGTTTTAGACTCAAATGTTATCAATTCTTATTTTTGTATGGTAATTTTACACTTTTTATAAGATGGAATTTTTTTTTTTGCGTCGGGGTGATTTAAATCAAATTAGGTTTTGCCCTTCACCGATGTTTAAACACTGTATACTCCGTGTGTTACCTCCCGAGTGAAAGTTCGAAAAATTACTCTTATAAATAGTTTATGCGGTACCTGCTGCTATGTACATCAGATTCGAACCAGCCAACCGATCCCATAGCTCTGTGGTCGAGTGGTAAGACATCTGCACTAGAGAGCAGGAGGTCGTGGGTTTGAGTCCCACCCAAGTGATTTTTCCAACTTTCACTCGGGAGGTAACACACTGAATAACAGTGTTCAACATCGGTGAAAGGCAAAACCTCATTTGATTAATTTTACACTTAAAACAACTTATTTAACAGTGTGTAATGTGAACATGAATTTCAATTGACAAAACAATTTTCATTCAATTTCTTAAAATTCTGTAAATTTAGTCAACGATTTTCATCGGACAAAGAAAAGTGATCGTGGTGGGATTTGATCCTGCAACCTTGGAGCATCAGTAAAAATACAGTTTCAGTCAGTATTCATGGTTCAACCATAAAACTGATTTTAAATGTCCATGTTGTCAATTTTCTCTCTGATATTTGATGCACAATAAAATATTTTAAAAAACGTAAAAATAAAAATCTACATATCATTTTTTTTAGTAATTATTTTTTTTTTGTATGGAAAGACTTGGAGTTGTTTTTAACTGGAATAAATCACATGCCAAAATTTTATAAGTTATTTCTCAAAATCAGATTCAAGATTCAAGAATATCATCACAAAAAGAAAGACGAATCTCAGCTGTGTAAGTAGAATTAAACATCTTATATCTAATCCTTGTATAAGAACAGCGCAGTGACAATAAACTCAGAATTCTTAGAGAAGAGCTAAATTTGAAAGATTTTGTTTTTCAGAAAAAAAGCCATTACATGTACTTACATCTGGGTCTGATTCATCAACTATAGTGTTGATAAACTCCAATGCTTTCATAATTGTGAACTCGCCACGATCAAACTTGCACCATTGCTCATGCTGAGGAAAACAAACAGTATTTTTCACATTAGATAGTGGCAAAAAAAAACATGTGTTGGCTTCCAACCATAGAGCTACATGTATAATAAATTACTAGAGCGCTAACTCATGTACAAAGTGATGCCTGCTGGGCGCATCCATGCTTGCACACAAACCTATGGAGAACTAGAAATTGTGTACGTATTTTGTACGTCTATTTGCATATCTGCATTTGTATTCCATACCGGTGCGTCATCGAAGCCGATATGCCAAAAACCTAAACGCATGATCTGCAATTGAGTGTGTCATTTTGCTCAACGCAAACAGCGCAACGAGTGTGCGTATCCGCTGCAGCCTTGATTAACCATATTTTTTGTTTTACCGTAACACCAGAAGTTTGCGTACGTTCTACTTAACTTGCGCATTGCATTTAGAGTACATTTTCAAACTTCAATCCATCTTATTTCAGTATGTTCTACAAACACGCACATGAATTAAAAATGTCTGTGCCCAGGACGGCTTCAAAGCGTCTCCGCGAGCAAGAATGAGGAGTTGGCGCTCTAGTAATTTAATATAGCTCTATGCTTCCAGAGATCGCTGGTTAAAAGCTTGCTGTAGTCAATTTGATTGTTCAAATTTATAATCATTATACAATGAAATCTTGATAAAGTCAAACCTCAAGGGAACAGGTTCAAAATATGACTTAAGCAGAGTTTTGAGTTAAGCAGGGTTGTATCATTGTTATACTACGGAAGGCAATGGATTCTTTGCTTGACTTTAACAGTTGTTTTGAGTTATCAGAGTTTGACTTATTGAGATTTCATGTATCTTTGGTATTTACAATGTAAATGATCTGAACTGTGTTAGTGAATGAATAAGCTACTGAGTGCCCCAATTTGTGGATGATAGCACTTTTTGTTTTTGATCAAAAATGTGTTCAAATGGTACTGATTGGTTACAAAGCTAATGTTTCGCGCAAATGATAGTGATCTCGGATAGAAATTTAGCGTGTGGTTGATACACATGATACATGTACATTTATATTAATGCATTTTAATACGTGACAAGCTTCAAATGAAAGGTTTAAACGGGGTACCCGTGTACGTTAAAACTACTGCCAACATTAATTCATTGTATCTTAAACAAAAATGCAAGAGTTTTCTATGTGCAAATACATTTTTGTCTAAACAGAAGCATACATTATCAACATACATGAAGTCCTTTTGACACAATTTTTACCTCATGTAAAAAAAACACACCAGAATTCCCCATGAAGAACCCCACTGCATTCAACTTCAATAATTAAGTTTCCTCCCCATTTTGAGTACCTTTCAAGTGATTTTGTCTCATTTACAGTAACACCAATACTATCAAAAGATTGACGAAGTACATGTATTCATCAAGATAAGTGAGGGAATTTGCCAATGCACGTGATGTTACCTACATGTAGATTCCTTAAACATGTTAAAGGTCAAAGCTGACGTGATGTGACCTGGATATACACTGTACGGCAGCTACAATCCCGGCCAAAATGATTGGGACACTTCCTGAGCCTGCCACGGTCACCCACTTCCCCGCTCCCCCGGTCAATGTTGTTCTCTCTAGCTGATGGAGCACACACCACGCAATGACAGACAACATTAAACGGGGGCCGGGGGGTTGGGGGCCCAGCGAGATTTGGCCAGGATTGTAGGTCAAACAGCTCCTGATTGCAAAACAAAAGTCATTGCGCCAGTGCATTGTGACCAAGCACTTTGTCGCAGTCGCAACACGAAGTGGGGTATCATGGGAGTCCACAGATGATACGTCACTTCGTGGTGCGACCTACGACTTTTTGGTCAGCCAAACATATCCCAAAGAGACACCGAGGCTTTCAGTATACGATAGGCTCAGTTAAGAGCATGAGTAGTCCATTTTCATGAACATACTTGCCAAAAGCTTTCATTAAGGGTTTGCACTTCACTGGTATGGTTTTCAATAGCACTTCTTGTGGATCTAGATCTTTGATTATGAAACCTCAGCAAGCGTGCTTGAAAAGGGGTTCTCAATGAATAACCGGTCAATTGCAAGGTTGCCGACAAATAGTCTCGGAATGAAGGTTGTACGTGACTCACTTTCTTACGGACGTACTCAACCGTTTGATGGGTGTGCATCAACTTGTAAGTGTTCTTGATCATGGCCAATTGGGGGTCATCTTCAGGAGGGTGCTACGAAAAAGAGAGAAATTAGTCATTGGATTTGAATAAGCCAAGATCCAAAGATCACAACACAATTTAATCAACTCAAAATGAATTTACATGTAAGGCAAAGTAAAATAAAAAAAACATGTTTCTCGTCCCCGCCCACTTCCTTTTTGGAGACCGCCTGGATTTGTTTATTTTTTATTTTTGAAAAATGCAGTAAACAAACATCGAAAAAGTCCACAAATTCATCGGAAAATAAATACCAATACCAATACAACTCTAAATGACACTGTAAAGATGTTCAGTTTTCTAGTCCAACTTGTCTTTCAATTTTTTTTTAAGTGTCTTTCAACAGTGGAAACACCAACGGTTGCAGGAAACTTTAAAATGGCGGCCATCTTGAAAAAAATAAAAAATAAAAAGTCCCTCTTCCTTCTTTTTTTCAAAAACCCGGACGAGAAACACGTTTTTTTTTTATTCGGCCTAATAAACTCAAAACATATTTCTGCAAAATTCCTCCAAACCGCCTGAAGGAGGACTTTAAATTGAAAATAACATATGCCTCGAAACAATAGGCCCCTATGTGTGGGTCTTATTACTATATCACAAAACAATACACGGACCTTGAAACATCTACTTATCTACAATGATGGGTCAAAAATAAATAGACGATACTAAAATAAAGGTCCAAAATACACAGAGATTACCTTGCATATTATCAGTATTTGTAGATGCATACAAAATAGGAATAAAGACCACACTAACAAGCAATAGCTTTATACAATGGTCAAACCCTGCTCTCTCATCTGAATCAAAGTCATGTAAAATTGGCATGACCTCGTTGCTTTTTACTTTTGGTCTTTGAAACTACAAAAGTCTTCAAAGTTTGCAAGACTCAGAATCAGAATATTACTCTTGGGACCCACCAGAGAACGGAAGGGTTCTGAAGTGTACTGCAAGAAAATTCTGATATCACAGTCAGACAATTTAATTCCTGCAGAAGTGACAAACTTGCAGGAACAGTCAGCGCGCAGCATGCCCGAAAGTGCTTTCGTTTATTTGCAGCGTATGCACGAACACACTGGAAATATGAATATTCATGAGATAGGAGATCCAATCTTCGAAATTCATTTTCCGCTTAACGTGTCTTTAAAAGTAGGATTTTATTTGAAATAGAGATTGACAAGGGTATAGTTTAATTGTTAAATGATAATAATTAAGTTTTAAGCAACTATTTTGTGAAATATGGGGAAGGAAATATGACCGTTGTTGTGGTGAATTTACGGTCGGTGAAAATCGTCCTTTTTTCTATACTAAACGAAGTTGGGCAGAATGTTTTGACAATTTGATGAAAAGCGACATTATTAAGCTACCTTTATTTTATAACTTTGGTTCTCTTGAGTATCCGAGGTAGTCAGGATCACTCAAAAAGGATGTCTATTCCGAGTGCCCAGGTCACGAAAATAACACCGCTCTGAAAGAACGTGCGTGGCGGTTTCGTGCCCTGCTCCACACGTACACGGGATCACAATAAGTAAACGCGGAGTAAAGGCACCCGACTATAATAAACTGGTTGCGTGTCTTTTCGAAACAGGGAAGTAAAACGATGTTTCATGTAAACGCATTAAAAATAAGACTTCGTCGGGTTTTTTTTTGGGGGGGGGGGGTCCTACTAAGTGTTTATGCTGGCAATGCAATAACTATTTCTTAATCATTGTGGGGATTTATTGGGAGGGGTGGGGGAGTACAAATTCGCAAATAAACTATATTTTTGCTTTATCTTAAGTAGGAAAGTGGACATGCATGACATGAACCTGAAAACAAATACAAAACATGTCTAAAGAATCAAGTCGTCTCTTTTCTTGACTGAAATTCTGGGAAACACTTTATTCATGAAATCACAATTACATACTTTCAGCTGCATTTAGTTAAACATTAAGGTATACTGAAACACTTTAACCCTTACCCTACTTGACCCTCCAATGCATGCCAATATGTGCCTCAAGAAAATCTCCTATGTTTTTTGCATGGCCCTCCAATATCTGCCATGTCATTTCAAGGGTAACTGGACAGGCACTCCAATACATGCCACAGAGAACAATGAGAGTCCTCTGATAACAAAGTGAGTGCCCCCAGCTGGTCAGTATCAGGCACCCTCCAGGGCCTCCAACTCCTGCCAATTGGAGCCTTCACTGTTAAGACTTGTTATCTGCCAAAAAACTGCAGCTGGAGGGCATTGGCATAACCAACTGACATGCAGTAAACTACCCTCAGAGAGTAAGGGTTAATATTTGAACCACCTTCAGTTTCCAAGAAAAAAAACTTTACAAATGAAAGTTTCTCACAACATGGAATAACTTACAAATATAGATCTAAAAAAAAAAGTGAACATGAAAATTAAGGCACAGTTTCTTTATTGTGTGAGGTTTTTAATGCTCTGAAAAACACTGATGTACAATGTACATGTACATGTACAGTAACTATACTCTTGCGACATGTATAGACCATGAGCTTATAAAGTTCCACGTGTCAGCAATTTGTTTTAAGGCAAGATTATTCAACCGCTCCAGCCCTTGGCAATAACAATAAATTGTATTTCTTAATAATTACAAGGGTAAGAATGCAGGCGTATAAGAACAAATAATACATATTTAAGATTGCAATGGTTACAAACTAACCAGCAATCAATTCTGTTCAGGCTAGTTTCCATCTCAACGTAAGAAACGCAAAGTGAAACAAAAAAATGGGACCAAAACTGCAGAACACATAATATGGAAACATTTCATCTGGAAGTGTCGCCGACAACTCAGACAGATGCAAACTGTTTCGCAGACGATCAGCAAAGTTGCCAGTGGTTCATAATGTTACGCAGTCTGCGTATTTTCAGAACATCGATATGGACTTCGAGTGCAGTGTACAGTCGTTCGCAGAGGTTTGTATTGTATTATCGGTTTTCAATACACAGCATAAAGGCAACTGACATTGATTAATTTGTGAAATAAAACTGGAAGTTGATATTTAGAGAAATTTGATTGAACTGATTATTTTTTTTCACTTTAATGCGTCATTTTTCTTACCGGGCAAATTTACATGCGTTGAAGTCTACACGTCATCAAACAAAACCTTTTGTGCTTCCAAGTCATCATGCGTTCATTCCAAAATGTGTACATTACAAAATGTGTCCGCATCTAGCAATGCTTGTTCTTCTTGCTATGTGAACAAGATGGCGCATATTAAATGTACCATGAAAGTGCTTATTCCTCAGGTTTTTTTATCAACGAACAATACTTGCAATATTCCATGCGACATGGCGTAAGAATCCCCGTCGCCTGATTCGTCAGTTTGTGAGTTGTTGATCACACGTCATTGAATTAAACATGCAAAATCCGGTTGTACCACAAAAATTGGAAAGTTCAATCCATGGTAAAATAATAGAGTTCCATTAAAATTGGTCATGTTCATCTTCCAGTGCGGATGTTGTGTCCAACCATCTTGACAGGGAAAATGGGTAAATCACTCTGCGCACTTGACCTAGAGGGTATTTTAAAGAAAAGAGAAAGGAGAGAAACATTATAATCAATCAATATACATGTACATTTACAGGGAAAGACCTAATATTAAATTAGGTTAGTCATTGCAAAAATGTTTTAAAAAAGACATGAATCTGGGACTGAGATTAAAGTGAGAATTATTTCCACTTTTGTTAGGAAATACTTAGAAAATTAATTTTCTTGATTCTTCACACTCATAGACTTTGTACACAACCGCTGAATTAAGTGGCGCCTGGATACTACATTCTTTCCTAATGCATAGCCTAGATGCACATGGGATGTATTTGTTTTGTACTTGATGCGACATGCAAAGTAACGGGTAGGAACCTATTGTCGACATCGGTCGCGATGCACCCACGTACGAACATATACGTAGTGCCGGTTAGTAATACACACTGCATACACGAGTGACGTCATCCAAATCAGACGTTGCCGACCAAAATCATGCAATTTTCGCGTATATTTCGCATCAAAATATAAATCGCCCACAAAACCTGCAGAGATGGGAATAGTACGGTTCGAAAGCATAACTCGTCAAGAGTCCAGGAATCGACAAATTTTATCCAACAATATCCCGAGGTAGTCAGGATCACTCAAAACGTGCAGGTAGTATTGAAAAAAAGGGTTTTTATACCTCATTTCGCAAGCCTAATTAATCACCTTTACAACAATATAATCACTAAAAAATGGTATCATTCGACGCCGAAAATAATATTCTTTCACTCACCCTTCCATGTTGGCCCAACACTGCCGCGAAAAACGGGTTTCTCGTCGATCTTCCAGGGGCACTGCCGAACGCTCGCGAAACCTCGTGAATTCTCGAAGGTCCGAGACCGTACAACTCGCTGCAAATAAAACTTCGCTGTGTGCCTCATTATCGAGCACGCTGCGCGCTGACTGGGAAACCTTGGAGTTAATGGTTTTTTTTAACCAAGTAAATCACAGTTTAACCCTCCTATTCAAACATACATTCTGTGACAAGTTGTCCTGTCAGTCAAAATCAATCAAGTGACTGTTTTCAACAGTTCAGAGCTCTCATACCTTCATAAAGCAGGATTGACTAGCTGTGACTGTTTATGTAACTTGATACAGCTACATGTATGCTTTGACTGTAGATGATTGATAAGCCAGCTGTGCCTACCACTTGCCTGTTTTTGTCTGTTGACTGAATTTGACTAGTCACAGTGCTTGCTTGATATTCCCAAAATGTATTCTTAATTAGAAAGACCTGCTCCTCTGAACTAGTTGTACCATTTTTTATACGGTTTTTTTGTTTTAATTAGGGGGGAGGGAGTGGTTTACAATCTCAATTCCAGTGCCTACACAATTGATGTGTACTGAAATAGGAAAGGTTGCACCCCCATCATGATCAGCCCATAAAAATTCAAGAAATTATTTGGTAGGCCTACATTTTAGATTTCAAGAGGGGCTTAAAAGAACCACATACTTCGACAAACTGTCTAAACTTTTCAATCTCCTTCGCCGAGGGTTTGAAATCGGTTCCTTCAAACTGTTTCTCGTTGACATCGGGCCTGTAGATCTCCGATGGATCCAAGATGGTTACAGTTCCCTGTGGGTTGAAAAAATAGCAAAATGAAAACAGAAAGAGGGGTTTAATTGCCATGAATTTTTAATGAGATATGCTGGAACCTCAGCATGCAACTTTGCCTGCTGTTGCTAATGCAGAGTTGCAGGTACCTCTCAATAATGTAATCAAATGTATTCTGCCAAATGTTGGGGATTGGTATTAAAATTGAATGTACAGGCAGGAAAAGCCTGCAGGCACTTGAACAGATGGCTAACATACATGTATATCATCACTGAAACATAATTAACAAACAAAAATACAGATTTCCTTGAGGTCTTTATTAATAGCAAATCAACTGTTGTGTTCCTAGTTCCAAACTGATTTTCACACTGTGTAAGCTGTTAGCTAGCTACTATTTTCCTATCACAAATTTAGTCAATAAAAGTTCAGTAACCAGGCAAGCAAACTGGGAATTTAGAAAATACAAGGAATTCCAAACCACACAAGACTTTGTACAGTGTTTTGTAATTTGTAATGGCATTCATGAGAAGTAAAAAAACGAGGAAATCAGCGAATCCGAGGAAAGGTTGCATGCCTGAGTAACAGAGAGATTGCTAGTGTGCTCTCTAACAGCATCACTCTGACTGCCAGTCTTTGTGGTTCATGTGGGTGAGATGTCAAGTTATCTGGGGGGGGGGGGGGGGGGGGTTGGTGGTGTTGCCCTGTGGGTTGAAAAAAATGACAAAATAAAAGCAGAAAGAGGTGTCTGCCCATGATTTATATATATACGTGTATGCTGGGACCTGAACCTATAGGTCAACACACAACATTGCCTGCTGTTGCTAAGGCCAAAAAAAAAAAGTCTCCGGTTTCTGGTATGGAGCTTGCCCAAAAATTGGTGTGGTGAAGCGGCTTTTTTTTTTTTTTTCCTGTTTTTTTTGCTTGAAATGTGGGCTGATGACTGCAAATGGTGCCCGACTAAACTAAGTGCAAATATTATGGGAGACCAGAGAGGCCACATAAAGCTTATTCTCGATCATAACCCCATCTAAAAACACGTTAAAATTGTCCAGCAGCAGGATTCCAGTCAAACCAGTGATTTTGGCAGTTTTGAGACATCATCTTTCATTGAAAAAAAAAACTTTTTCTTTTTCTGACGCGCATGGCTACGGCAACGCGCGCACATACCAGAAACCGGAGACTTTTTTGGGGGGCCTAATGCAGATTGGCAGTACCTCTTAATAATGCAATTTACTTGTATTCTGGCATCGAGGTGATTGGTATTTAAATCGTATGCACAGGGAAGCAAATGCATAGGTATATTCATCACTGAAACATAACCAGAACAATATACATTTTTGTACAGGTTTTCTTGAGGTCTTACTATATAAGCAAATGTCTTCCAAATTGAGTTTCATGTGTGCAAGATGCTAGCCTTTTTAGTTTCCTATCACAAATTTAGTCAATACAAGTTCAGTAAGTAATTAACAGAGAGATCTGTGTTAACTAGAGCACTGAATCTATTACCCTCCCTGCTGATTATTCCAGCTCTGTTCATGAAAATAGACTATACTCTCTAAGCATAGAGACCCTAATGGTTACAGTGCCCTGTGGGTCAAAGAAATTTAACAAATGAAAAGAGAAAGGTTTTCCCATGATTTTTTGAATGAGATATGCTGGTACCTGAACCTACATGTAACTTTGCCTACTGCCAATGGAGATTTGCAGGTACCTCTTAAAAAAAAAAGCAATCAAACTTATTCTGCCATTGGTCATGTTGGTGATTGGTATTTAAATTGCATGCACAGGCAGGAAAAGCCAGCAGGCACTTAAATTTCATTGATGGATTAATAAAGTATTTTCAATTCTATTCTCTATTCTATTGAACAGATGGCTAATTGGTTAAGGTGCTGTGGTCCAGTGGTAATTACGGTGTTCGACTCGTGTGCCATGGTACATTGGTACGAATCCTGACAGGGAACGGTGCGTGTGCGCTTGGGCAAGGCACTTTACTACGATCACCTCTCTCCACCCAGGTGTAGTAAATGGGTACCTCAGTGGTAGGAAGAAATTTCTTCAATGCTTGAGCGCCGTAATGACAGCCGTGCTAAAGCCAGGGTAATAATAGAGGGCCAGGAGCATCACTTCGTGACAGACATGAGCACTTTAAAAGAAGCCATTATTATTATTATTATTATTATTAATTGAAACAGAACCAACAAAAATACAGGTTTCCTTGAATCATGACCACAACAAAACTTCACTGAGGTTTCCTTGAGGTCTCACTGTTTAGCAAATCAACTGTTGTCTTCCAAGTTCCAACCCGGTGTTCATACATGCAAGATGTTAGCCTTTCCTATCACAATTTAGTCAATAAAAGTTCAGTATATAACCAGGCATGCAAACTGGGAATATAGAGAAAAAAAACCAAGGAATTCCAAACCACAAGACTTTGTACAGTGATTTTCAATTTGTAACGGCTTTCATGAGAAGTCAAAAACGAGGAAATCAGCGGATTTGAGGAAAAGTTGCTTGCCTGAGTAACAGAGAGATCTGGCTTAGAATTTACTCCTGATGAAGATTACTCCAAATGTCTGAAAAACATACAACCAAGTTTTCACTTCGTTATAGATGGCTTATTCAATTTAGAGTTATTCACAAGTTAGGCCAAGTAAAATATGCACTCAGTTTCCTCTCCCCACCACCTTTTTTTTCTGCCTGAATTTTTTTTCTTCTATTATTTAATTTTTATATCATACATGTGCAATCTATTTTGTCTTTTTATGTGTTTTCAGCAAAATTGTGGAAATGTATGCAAGCTCAAAATCTGGTAGAAAGGGCGATTGTTCCTTTGGACACAAAAGTATCACTAAAGAGTCGAGAAAATGGAAGAATCCATATTGGAAAATCTGTCATCTTGAGGAAAAAAAAACATGAAACAAAAAAACTTGTCATCTCCTCAAATTTTTCACAAAGCCCGGACAGGAAACGGTTTTCTTTTTACTTAGCCTTGTAGGGTTATTCACACAAACTGCTAAACACCTCAAGTTAAATAATACAAGTTAGAACTTATCGTTTTCATGCACAGAAGCCTATAGAGAGCTAAAAACACGGGTTGCAAACAAATCTGTTAATTCCAATTGCCCTATGTTTTTCCTGTTGCCTTGCGTTTCAAGGGAATGGGGTGATTGTGTATGGTCTGTGCTCAAAGCACCAGTTACTGTCCATTGTATGCTAAAATCAATAACCCCATAAGGACAAACTAATCTGGTCACGGCCAAAGCACCATATGCTTGCCAGGCATGTACATGTACTGTACAGGTCAACAAACAGCCCTTTGATACGGCTTAACTTGTATCCTTGGATGTCTGAGAAAAATTGTCTGATGTTGGTCCATATCTTTATTTTGTGAAGGATTTTTGTGGGGGTGTGTCCAGGTGTACATGTATGGCTTTAGAATAGAGGACAGACGCACAAAGGGAGAAGATCCTTTCAGTCCTTGAGCGCTGGGTCTTTTGTAGTCTTGGGTCCAAGACCTTCCTGTTGTTTATTCCTCGATCACATCACTCTCGCAAACGATCGCTGCTGATAGAGGGCGCTATCTCGAGACGAATCGCTATCATCCACGAACCGCTATGTTGTTTATAAACAACATAGCGGTTCGTGGATGATAGTGGTTCGTCTCGAGATAGCGCCCTCTATCAGCGATCGTTTGCGAGAGTGATGTGATCGAGGAATAAACAACAGGAAGGTCTTGGACCCAAGACTACATGTAGGTCTTTTGTTGAAAACAGTCCACGATTGTACGGTTATGTGCTTTGTCTATGGGAGAGTGTTATATTACAGGGACAAAGGGAAAAACAAATCATTGTCCTCTGGGGTATAAAAATTCACGACTGTGCGTAAGAGTTTGTTTCTGCATTCAATAGGGGACGTTGAACAATAGAGGACAATAGGGTCCCCAAATTCTGAAGAAAACATATATTGGGAGGTCTTCCTAAAAAGTTAAAGCATAAACAAAAGAGGGACACTATAAGGGGTCCCCGATTGCAGGCAAATACACACTTGTTTACAGGTTACCCTATACGACTGAGGACTTGGGACAATGGGGTGTGTGTGCGATAACAATGGGCCCGATGCTGGCCAAGGGCCAGGGCACTTGTCCTCGGGAGAATTTCGTGTACAAACCTTATGGGAGCTATCGAGAAAAAGTTACAGTAAAAACAAAAGAAGGAAAGGGGCAGGTCTTCATGAGTATACATGTAGTAAAACACGACTGGGTGAGTATGTAAACACCGGCAATCAGAATAAACAAAGGAATGAGGATTAGGGACAATAGGTGATCCACGATTGCCTGTGTTTACAAAGATGGGTGAATGTGTAAACACCGGCAATCGATCGTGGACCTACACGTAGGACAAAAGGGTTTGGGCACAAACAATATGTCCACGATTGACTGGTGTCCACGATTGAAGTTCGTGTGAGCTGTTGCTAAAAAGTTAGAGTTCAAACAAAGAAATGAGGATTACGGACAATAGCGGGTCCACGATTGCCGGTGTTTACATAGAGGTGTGTGTGAGCCTACAGGGGGGGGGGGGGGGGGGGGGGGGAGGGCACGCGTAAAATTTTACGTCACGAATCAACCACTATCACTAGTTGGCCAATGGTCCTCGCCCGAACTTGCTGTTGTCTGCACTTGAACTTTATCCAGTTTCAGACCATGAATAATATAATGGAACAAAAGCTTGCTCATTTTCAAGTTTAGTTTGATTTAAACTTAGAAGTAATTAAAAACAAAAAGGAAAAGGTATACTGGACTCACTACCCATAGTATATTTTATAGATGTTTGCAGGAGCCAGAAAAAAGAAGGGTCAGTATGTATGACTCTAATTTCTTTGCCTGACGCCATCCATTTTGGAAAGGCTTCCATACCTGGACATCACTTGACACCCTGTGCACAAACCCTATATGAGACTGGTCTGAAAAATTCCAAGTGTTTTCTCAGTAAGGCAAAATAAAAAAAAAAACATGTTTAGCGTCCTGCCTCTTTGACAAAAAGGAAGAAGGAGGCCCTTTTTTTTTTTTTTTTCTTTTCAAAATGGCCGCCCGACACATTTTTCAAGACAACGCGGCCGGGCTATTTTTTCAAGATGGTTACCAGCTTTTTTCAAAATGGCCGCCACTTGGACTCAGGAAATGACATATTGGCTTCTTATGGGCAAGATGCAACAGAAAATGAGACCAAAATGATGTAACTATGCAGAACCGAACATCTCTTCTGCGCAGAGATCGTTAAAATTTATCAATTTTTGTCTTTAAAAAAAAAAAAAAAAAAAAAAAAAGGAGGCGGCCTCTAAAAAGGAAGCGGGCGGGGACGCTAAACATGTTTTTTTTTTTACTTCGCCTAAATGCTTCAATATTTTCCCTGCTAAATTTGACTTTTTAGGACATGTTATCACTTTCTGATGGCTGATAGGTCAATACCTGAATACAGGGGAAAATTGGTGATGGAATTCTTCCCCCTAATCTATATTTCTAAGCAGAGTTGTGTAGTAAGTTTATGGTGAGACATTGGCCCAGGTTGGACGACGTCTTCATTGCATTACGACTGACGTCCAGGGTATAAATTCTACCACCATAGCGAAAACAATTATAACACATTTTTTTCATATTTGTACCTGACGGAGGAAGCTGAAATTTCGCTTACATATTCCTTGTATCCAGAATTGTGCCTGTGCTGGGTTAAGAAAAGGCAAATATGTCCGCGGGCGGCGTGTTTACCGAAAATAAACCGCAAGTTCTACGCTTTCATTGAAAACATTTTCAGTACGACGGCGGCAGCATGCTAGGTGTGCATGCACGCACGAGCGTAATCTTCACACGGGAAAATGTTTTCAACGAAAGCGTGGAATTGCAGTTTATTTTCAGTAAACATGCCGCCTGCAAACATATTTGCCTTTTCTAAACCCAGCGCAGGCACAATTCTGGACACAAGGAATATGTAAGCGAAATTACAGCTTCCTCCGTCAGGTAAAAATATGCAAAAATGTGTCATATTTTTTTTTCGCTATGGCAGGAGAAATTCATACCCTGGACTCCGTTGCGTGTACACTACGGAGTCCAACCTGGGCTAGGTGAGACATGAAGAGTGATGTTTCTCATTCTGAAATTCATGGGTTTTTTTTCAACATATTAATTTATAAGTGGGATAAGTTGCACTCTGGTTCTACACAGTCATTCCTTTCTAAATTCTATGCAACTTCCAAGCATGCCAAGTTTCTTCAAAGGCATATATTGCTAGACATGCTATACTCCTCTGATGTTTCTGAAAAAAATATTGATGAAAATAATGCAGTCTTGACTATACTACTAAAAATGGAGCCTATCCTTTTTATAGCTCCATGGCATGATCTACTCAGTCCATTATTATTAGAAGTAGACTTCAACAAGCATGATGCAGGAAAACGATACAACACATTGTCAAAATCTCCAATCCAAAGTATTAAAACTTAAAAGTAAACACGATGAATGGATCGAGAGTCTTATCATGAAACTTGAAAATGTCACCGACAGTCATGACAGTGACACCATGTAGTTGTGTACACTGTGCAAAAATAGTTACTTACATGTTCCATTGTGATGACAGAAGCAAGCTGGCCCGGTCAAATTTTTGATAGGTTGAGGCACTTTTAGTTGTCGGTTTATTTAGTTGTCAGCTGTACCGTACCGCCGGCCGCCGCCTGTACTTCGTGTATTGAGAACGAAATGGCACTCTGGCGTAGTGGCGTTGCGCAAATGAAATGATAAACAAGCGTCACGTGACACGTCGCCTGACCTTCAGCTGGGAACGTCATAATACGGTGCTCGGGAAGAGCCACTGAGTCGTTCAAATCTTCGCGATTCTTTTCATTTTGTGCAAGAAAATTCATATCTTTGAGGGATTGTGTTGGGGAAATATTATGGGTCATTCCGTGAAGATTGGGAAACTAGGTGTGGCATGACCTTCAAAACCCAAAAGTGCTCTAAGATCAATCATTATTGTTGATGTACCCTAACGTGGCGCGGCCCCTAACGTGGCGCACTTTTATTTTTCGCCTGTAGCGCCTAGCTAGAGCAAAAGTTTTAACTGAAATTACACGGAGGGTGAAATTTCATCAAGTTCTAAACACTCCCGTTCATAAATCGCGAGTTTATTTACCCGTTACAAAGTTAAAAGAAAAAAATATTTTGGCGTGATTTTCCGATTTTATTTTCAAGTGCAAAGTGAACCCTTTGAAAATGCCCCGGAAAATAAGAAAATAATTTTCTGACAAACATCTGGCTGGGTTTGTAAGTAAAGATAATAATGATTTATCAGAATTTATCAAGTTTACAGAAATTCTTAAATGTTCATTTGGAATTTTCTGAGATTTATTCAAGTGCGCCACGTTAGGGAACACTCCGCCAATCTGTGCCCAATTTCCGGACGCGACCGTTTTTGCATTTCGGATTAAATTTTATGAAACCGAAATTGTTCACAGAGGTTAAAAAGCAAGCATTAGAAAGGTAAAAGTACCAGTATTTCACTGCATGAATTTGAGGTTTGTCAACAAAGAGGTTTGGCAACACTACACGAGGAAAGTTGGGTAAGCTTCGAAGTGCGCCACGTTAGGGAACACGACTATATATATTTTGTAGTTCCATGGGTGTACGTTTAATTTTAAATCCTCCTTCAACAAGCAACTGGACTGGGTGAACTTTCGAGCTTTCGATCGCAATGATGTAATAGTATTTAAACATCAATTGGTATGATTAAACCCTAGATCAGAATAATTTTGTGAACTCTTATATCATTATTTTCAATAATAATAGAAGTGCACGGGTAGCATCTGGTCACGGTTGAGCATCTGAACTTCTGAAACATCTTTTAAAAAATGTTTTGTCTGAAACAAAACAAAGAATGTAATACAAAATTGATGCAGCCTCAAAAAGTAAGCAGGCGGGCCATTAGGCAAAAAAAAAAAGAGTCTCCGGTTTCTGGTATGCGCGTGCGTCGCCGGTAGCCATGATGCGCGTCGGCAAAATGATAAAGGTTTTTTTCCATGAAAGATGATGTCTCAAAACAGCCAAATTTACTGGTTGACTGGAATCCTGCTGCTGCACAATTTTAACGTGTTTTTGGATGGGGTTATGATCGAGAATAAGCTTTATGTGGCCTCTCTGGACTCCCATATATTTGCACTTCGTTTAGTCGGGCACCATTTGCAGTCATCAGCCGACATTTGAGGCAAAACAAATCAGGTAAAAAAAAAAGGTCGTGTCGCCGCACCACTTTTTGGGCAAGCTCCATACCAGAAACCGGAGACTTTTTTTTGGCCTTAGGTTTTATTGGTGGTTTTCACGGAGTAAATGGAGCAACAAAACATGAATCGGTTTTTAAAACAATATTCAAAATACTAAAAACGGTAAGAAATAAATTGCAGTTGTAACATTACTAACACATATTGTCGTAATTTTTAAAGTCGGTATCTGAAAATGTCTATGCAAAACCCCCTACACCGGGGCTTTGTGTAGAAAATATCAGACGGTTATTAATTACTCCCCATCACGTTCGATTAACTTCAGCAGCGACCGCAAGCCTTTGAAAGGAAAAGTTAAGAACGGATCAAGGTACCAACTTTTACAACGTGCTAGTAATGTGCAATCCGAATGAAAATCCTTGTGTATTTTTTATGGCGTGTCAAACGTTGCAATATTCAATATTTTGCAATATTGGATGTTCAATATGTGTTTGTTATCTTTTACATTTATGTGCGATGTTCAATATAAGTGTGCGATGTTTTTCATTATTTGCGCGATGTTTAATATATTTGTGCGATGTTTTACAATATATGTGCGATGTTCAATATATGTGTGCGATGTTTTACATTTATATGCGATTTTCAATTTATATGTGCGATGTTTTTGACGATATATATGTGCGATGTTTTCAATATTATGTTCGATTTTTTGCATTAAAAGTGCGATGTTTTTCGATACAATTGTGTGTTGTTGTTTTACAATATATTTGCGATATTCTCAAATATGTGAGCAATGTTTCACACATATGTTTGACATTTCAAGCTATTTGTATTCGATGTTTCATCGGTATGTTTGCATTACGGGATCGCGTAAAGTGATTAGAGCCAGACCTAAACGGTAAAAACTGGAATTGTGGGTTCGTCATTGTTTGGGCAGTACCCCCAGCTGTGCCTGTACTACCCATAGTGTTATGTGCATCATCTATGCATTGAGGAGTGCATGACACATGGTCTGAGCTCCAAGGCCGATGTGCACCTGTCCCGTTTAATGATCCAGTTACCTGATAATTTGTTTGAAAAATTCCAGATGTAAAATTGGGCAAAATTAGATGTTTATGAAAAAAAATCAAATTGTAAGGGGTTAACCTTGCATTTTTTTAGCAAAATCGGGAAAAATCAGATGTTTCTGGAAAATTGCAGATTGTATGGCGTTAGATGTTTATGAAACATTTCAAATTGTAAGGGATGAACATTGCATATTTTAGCGAAATTGGGCAAAATCAGATGTTTCCGAAAAATTTCAGATGTAAGGGATTATCCTTGCTTTTTTATTGACATTTGGCAAAGTTAGATGTTTATGAAAAATTTCACATTATGGAAAAAATCTAATGTTTCTGGAAAATTGCAGATTCTAAGGGGTTCACCTTGCTTTTTAAATACGATTGGGAAAAATTACATGTTCATGAAAAAAATTCAAATTGTAAGGGGTTAACCTTGCATTTTTTTAAAGCAAAATAGGACACAATCAGATGATTCTGGAAAATTGCAGATTGTTGTTAGGGCTTAACCCTGCATTTCTAGCAAAATTGGGCAAAAAGAAATGTTTATGAAAAATTTTAAATTGTAAGAGGTGTACCTTGTATATTTAGTAAAATTTGGCAAAAATCAGATTGTATGAAAAATCTAAAATGGTAAGGGGTTTACCTTGCTTTTTTAGCAAAATTTGGAGCATATTTTAATAAAATTGAGCAAAATCAGATGCTTCTAAAAAAATCCAGATGTAGTAAAGTTTCCACAAAAACAGCTGTTGAAAAAGAGCCCAATGTTGAACTTTACTGAGTCTGAGGTCTATCGAGGGGACGATCCTTATTTCAACTCCCGGAGATTCGCTGACAGTCTCTATTTTTCCTTTTAAGAAAGTCGAAATAGCTGAAGAGGGAGGTGAGAATCTATATGTGCCCAGATACAAAGAGTAGAAATCTACGCGTCTGCCTTTTGAAAATACACAATTGCGGTGTTCATTGTTGCGTAATGATCCGCCTAGCACACGACTGTTTGCACATTAGGCTGTGTTATGCAGCTTCCTAACAAACCAAACACACTGGGCTCATTATATCGACTTGTTTTTACCCATTAAGGTAAAGCAAATGGACCCAGTAATCTTCCTGGCGCGTTTGCTCACCTATAAAGACAACTTTTCTCAGTTTAAGGAAAATTCTACGGTAACGAAATGGCCGAGTGGTTACGATTCGTCGTCCACGGTTAGCGGGGTCCCGGGTTCGAATCCCGCTGGTGTCTTTTTGGTTTTTAACGAATGAGTTCAATTATTCACTATAAGAGATTTAATTTCCCGTCGTAAAGCACCTTAGCTTAATCGGTAAGCACTGCTGCTGGTACTGTCCGCGAGTTCCAGGTTGGCGCCTTCGTATAGGTTCAGGGCATGTGGTCCACTCGGAGGATCAGGGCTTAGGGGCCGCCCTGTTCCTCCCTTAGCTCTTTGCTTTTACATGGTGCCTGGCCCTCCGGGGTTATATGGATGGATAGGGAAGGAAGTGTGTATTGGTCGGGGACGCCGAGACCCCGGAAGAGAACTAAGGGATCGGCTGGGGCATTGTTATGGCTCAGACCGATCCCTGAAAGCTTGACTAGCACATAACTTTTTGATTTTTTTTACCCTCTATCTTTTATACTTTGGCTTAGTTTGATATCTACAGCTGCTCGACAGGTCTACGGGTAGTATCAAAATTGAAACAAAGGTGTATGTCATAAATCAATGAATATTTCATAATTGACTATAATCAAAACGGAGTTTCGTTTGATCAATTTGACTATCATTATATAATGACGCGATTGCCAATTGACGTAAGAAACGCCATAAATTATACCGGGAAAGAATAAAGATGTACATTGTAATATAAATATTATTTATACATCTTTCAAATAACGTGTCTTTAGTTGTGAGCATTCCAAACAATACAGTAATTCGCAATAGTAATAGAATGGTTTATGATAGCACGATCAATGCGTCTCTATTAAATTTAAAACAATATAATTAAGGCCACTATGTGTGAAATATTCTTTGATTGACTATGAGCATTCCATACGAATGAGTTAATTCGCAAAATATAGCAACAACAAAAGAGAAAGGAAAAAGAGAAAATTCCTTTACCCTAAAAACTGGAAAAAACTAATTTGTTTAAAAAAGTCAAATGGGACACTTCATGTATTGATTTAACAGTTTGCAAGGGGTTAACCTTACATTTTAGCAAAATTGGGAAAATCAGATGTTTCTGGAAAATTGCAGCTTGTAAGGGGTTAACCTTGCATTTTTAGTAAAATTTAGATGTTTATGAAACATTCCAAATTGTAAGGGGTGGACCTTGCATTTTTTTTAGCGAAATTGGGCAAAATCAGATCTTTCTGGAAAATTTCAGATTGTAAGGGGTTAACCTTGCTTTTGTAGTAAAATTTGGCAAAATAAGATGTGTATGAAAAATTTCAAATTGTAAGGTATTAACCTTGC